GCAATAAACACGTGGGTACCAAAATTCAAAACATAATGCCATTTACAACTTCTTAAAATTTTTTACTTAGGTGTAAATCTAGCAAAACGTGTACAGGACTTGTATGCTGAAAACAACAAAATGCTGGTGAAAGAAATCAAAGATCTAAATAAATGGAGAGACATAATATGCTAAACAATTGGAAGATTTGATATAGTAAAGATGTCAACTCACCCAAATTGATATATAGGTTTCATGTAATACCTATCAAAATCCCAGTAAGATATTTTGTAGATATAGACAAAATTACTCTAAAATTTACATGATCATGGCAGCACAATTTATAATAGCTAAGATATGGAAGCAACCTAAATACCCATCAACAGATGATTGAATAAAGAAATTATGGTTCATATATACAATGGAATATTACTCGGTCATTAAAAAAAATGAAATCCTACCATTTGCAATGATATGGATGGACCTAGAGGTTATTATGCTGAGTGAAATAATTAGACAGAGAAAGATAAATACCAAATGATTTCACTTATATGTGGAATCTAAGGAACAAAAAGAACAAACTAATCAAAAACAGACTTACAAAAATAGTGGACAATTTGGTGACAGACAGAGGGGATGGGGGTTGGGAGGCTGGAAGAACGGGGTGAAGGGTTAAAGAAGTACAAATTAGTAGTTAATAGTTGGGTACAGGGAGCATGAGAGGGTTAATATGATGGTTAAGTGGAGGGAGGGAGCAATTGGGATCATTTTATGAATATTATAGATGTCTAACCAATGTACTGTATACTTGAAACCAATTTAAATAAATTTATATCAAAAATTTACATGAAAAGGCCAAAGAACTAGAATATCTAAAATAATTTTGAAAAAGAAGAATAAAGTGCAAGGAAACAATCTACTCATTTTCAAGACATATTATGTAGCTACAACAATCAAGGCTGTGTGATATTGACAGAGGAACAGAATAGAGAACTCAGAAAATAGATCCAAACAAATATGTCTAACTGATTGTTGACAAAGGTGGAAAAGCAATTCAATGGAGGAAAGATAAGTTTTTATCAAATAATGCTGAAGTAATTGGACATCCAGAGGCAAAAAATGAACCTATACAGAAATTAGCTCAAAATAGATTATGGACTTAAATGTAAAAATTAAACTGTAAAATCTTAGAAAAATAATTAGGAGACCATTTTTAGGTCTGTGGCTAGAGAAGGAGCTCTTGTTTCTGACACCAAAATCAGTCCATAAAAGGAAAATTGATAAATTGGACTTCATCAAAACTAAAACTTGTACTCTGCAAAAGACCCTGTTAAGAGGACGAAAAGACAAGCTACACACTGGGAGAGTATATCTGCAAATTATATATCTAACAAAAGACTAAGCTCTAGTATTCATAAACAACTCTCAAAACTTGATGGTTAAAGAAATCCTATTAGACTATGGGGAAAAGACCCGAACAGATATTTCACTAAGGATATAGAGATGGTAAATGAGCACATGAAAAGATGTTAAATAACATTAGTGGTTAGGGAATGCAAATTAAAATCAAAATGAGACTTCAGTACACATCTATCAGAATGACTAAAATAAAAAACGGTGATCATATCAACTGCTGGTGAGGATGTGGAAGACTGGGTCACTCATAGCTTGCTGATAGGGATGTAATATGGTGCAGCCACTCTGGAAAAGTTTGGCAATTTTTTAAAAAGCAGACATGCCACTATTACATGACCCAGCAATTCTATTCTTGGAGATTTACCCTAAAAAAAAATAAAAACTTATGTTCGCATAAAAACCTGTGCACAAAAGTTTACAGAAGCTTACAGAAAATTTGATTTGTAATAGACAAAAACTGGAAACAACCTAGATGCTTTTCAATGGGTGAGTGGTTAAATAAACTGTGATACATCTATACTATGAAATACTACTGAACAATTAAAAAGAATGAACTATTAATTAAACTTGAGAACTATGCTGAGTGAAAAAAGCCAATCCCAAGATGTTAACATGCTGTGTGATTCCATTTGTATAACATTCTTCAGATGATAAAACTATGACAATAGAGAACAGATTAGTGGTAGTCAGGGTTAAAGGAGGAGTAGAGGCTAGACAAAAGTATGTGTAAATATAGAAGGGCAACGTGAGGAATCCTTGTGGTAATGAGAACATTCTGATTTTGATTATATCAACGTCAACATCCTGGTTATGATATTGTCCTTTAGTTTTGCAAGATGTTAACCACTGGGGGAAAACTGGATACAGGGCACACATGAGCTCTCTGTGCTAATTCTCACACGTGAATCTACATTTATCTCAAAATAAAAAGGTTAATTAAAAATGAACAAATAGTTTCCTGGGTGAAAAAAAAAATTATTGTGGAGTCTCTGAAATGAAGATTGAGCTATTCTGGCAGTGTGCTAACATCGTGTATACATGTTCTAGCAACTTTACCCAGTGATAAGCCATTTGTACATAGGTTAATGTCCCACGCATTTAGAAATGCCTCTAACCCTCGATCACGAGGACATGAACGCATTTCTGGCAGCTTGTGATGCTTACTTTAGAGTTGACACTGATCTTCACTCCAAAGTGTCAGTGCTACCATGTCCACAGTGCATGAGAATCATTGAAAGGAAAACTTGTTAAGCAATGCACCTTGTCATAAAGACCTCTTAGGTATTTTAAATGAAAAACCTATGGCTTTGGTAAATCTGAAACCTTGAGGTGTAAATTGAGTGACTTGAGTTTATGATGCATTTATTTTTTATAAAAATCAAGGTAAAAATCTCATATATTAATAATTCATAAAATATCTCTTTCCTTTCCCTCTGTCATCTCACTCCCCTCTTCTTTCTTCCACAAACGAGTCAGGGAAATCTTAATTTATTCAAATAGATATATGTCAACTTTGCTATTAAAAATGATGCCCATTCTGTGGTCTAAATCACCTGCACACTTTATAAAATCCTTTTCATAATTTTATAATCACAAGAGTTTTCCACCAAGCAGATGATAAAGAGTTTGATGTGTGGTCAAAGGAAATAAGCCCGCCTGTTCTTTTCCTTCCTCTCAGTTTTTCTGATTGCTTTGTCCTGTTATCCCAGAAATGTTCTCAAGTAGTCTCTAAAACTCTAATAACTTTTCCTTCCCAAGAATAAAATATATATGAGTTAACCATTTATCTCTGGGATGCCTCAGGAGTGAAAAGAATCATAAACTACACATGTCCTTATCCATACCACCCAGCGATGACGTAATTCTCCTAAACTTTGCTCTAATAAATCCTGAGGCTGGCTCAGTGCTCAGTACTCTCAATCTACATAGGTTTGTTTACAACTGGCAGCTGTATTTTTCATGACAGGCATTTCATCACCTCTGCTTAGAGAGTGATTGTTCAATGAATGCACCACAGGAAGTCTAAGTAACTTTTGCACAAATGCCCATAGATTTCTGTTTTTGGACACCCAAATTCATTTACGGACAGAAAACTAAGAGTATGGATTCATTTATACATTAGAAGGCTTTACTTATAATACTATATTATATACTCTATACAGAGATACTTAGCTTTTGAAAGGGGCTCTAATTATGGATATTTATACACAAGTTTACGACTTTTTAGGTCTAATTCATTCTCAGAGTTCCCTTATATCACCATGAAAAACTGGGAATGTGGCAAACACATACATCTTAGTTGGTTTGGAGATTTTCAGAAGGGTTGACCAAAGAGTTTATCTCCCTTCCTCATTAGTATTTTGAAAGTCAAAGCAAAATCAAGAAACACTTATTGAGTACCTACTGTGTGGAAGGTATTGTATTAGGCTTCAGGCAGTGTGACCAAGCAGATTAACCCAGTCCTTGCCTCAAGTAGCTTGCAATTTACTAGCAAGACAAATATAAATAAATATTAATTGTATATATATTTATATATAATATATTCAATGTAAATATAAAAGATATTGGGTAATAGTGCCAGATGGCAATAAAAAAAATCTGTCATGGAATAATAATTTGTTCTGAATTAAATAAATTGTACTTCAATGCTTGGTCTAAGTTCAGTAGAGGGAGAGAACAAGTCAAACCTGGGTCACAAAAGGAAGTCCTGGTAGAAAGCAGAAAGCATGTGGGATGAGAGCATCTATGCTGAAGATGCTGCTTTCTCATTTTTGAAAGAAATGGACTCCATTATCATTTAACTTGTCTCTGAGTGTTAGAGTTGTCATCGATCAATACGTTGACTTTCTAATTATAAAATTCCTTGCATCCTAGGAGCAATTTCAGAATAATTTTTTCCTCCCCTCCCTGCCCTTGCCAATCCCAAACCCTATGCTGCAGCATGATAGTTGTGCTGGGAAAATGCTGTAGAGTTTTCTGGTTATTCCCCACAAGTTCTTTGGCTTCGGATTTAGAAGTTGCCCTGGGAAGTGAAGCTTCCTGGACTATAGTCAGCAGAAAGACTGCACTAATAAAGTGTTTTCCACCCTCTATGAGAAGGTGACACATACATTTCTCACAGTGTCACTCTAAAATGGAGGAGTTGAAATCCGACTTAGATTCTAAGAGGAGGTAACAGTAAGCTTCCTGATGTACAGCACATATTCTCTACCAGTGTCTTTTTAGACATCTGTACAGCTTTTTAAAACTTTTCCGTAGCTATGATTGGTCTATCACTGCATAATGAGCATAAGTGAAATGGGTCTCAGTGGACAGAGCACTGGGCTGCCATCTAGGGTCCCCTGGCTTCCAACAACTGCTGATTGATTATTTCACAAACTTATTGTCTCTGTGCATACGAATGAAGGAGGTAGGCATCTTTGCTGTGACTGGCACCATGAAAACTATTTAGGAATTTGTTTGGGATTGATTATATTTCTACACAGATAAAATACCTTACCCATGTTTAATAGGAACATATAACCCATATATTTTAAATTCCTCTGTACCCACAAATGTAATTTTTGATAGCTTGAGTTGTAACATTATTTTCCCCTCTTTTGAAGGTTGCTGGACATTGAAAGTGAAATGATCAAATTTGCCAGTTACTATGCTGGAACCGCTGTTGCTGTGCTTATCACAGGATATATTCAGGTTAGTAGCACCTCCATTTTATTTTTTGATCAACATTGGGGTTCAAAGACATTACAATGAAATGCAAAGTGTACTCTTTAACTTTTAAGTTATTCAGAAATCCTAAGGACTACAGTTTTATTTGGGAGTGGAGCATGAGAGAATGGAAAGGATTCTTCCTCTCAGTTGGCGTAAAGGTTATAAGCATTTGTCTAGAGAGATAGAGAAAAGACTTTTAGTTTCAATGTCCTGTCCTTGCTTGCCCTCCCTGCTTCACCCTCTCTTCTAAACTCAGAAATAGACAGTATAGGTGTATTAATAAAGGGAGAATGTGTGGTTTGGAGAAAGCTGGGCATAAATATAAAAGTGAGTTGAAAGAAAGCAAATCTTACTTTCTTTTCCTCCTTCATTGCTAAAGTCTCACCAAACTGCATTTCAACCCAAATTCTGTAAACCGAATCTAGAGCGTATTCTAGATTTTAATTATGAAAGGGCCTTAACCCCTATGAAGGAAGAAAAATATTTCATCTTTTGCCTTCTTGTGTAAAAAAAAATAATGAACCCTCCTACCCCCCATTCATTCAAGAATTCCAGGAAATTAGTGTTAGTTGAAAAGAGAAATGCATCAATTTTTTTCATTCTAACACCGGGAGTTTTAATGACAAGCTTGTGTTGCTTGGTCGGGATAACTCTTAGCCGATTCCCTGCTTATGACATAATTTTTGTCTTACTTTCTCTGAAAAGCATTGGCCAACAGCCTGAAAACTAAGCATAAATGCTTGTTGGCAGGCCTCTCAGGGGAAAATTCACTCAGAAGTGGCATGCAAAATAGTGTTAAGTCCAAAAATGGCAGAGCTGGATTCAAACCCAAATCTCTGGCTTCCCTGTTCACAGTTGTCCTGCTTACTTCCACCTGTGGGAGCAGATGCCAGCGCTCACACTTTAGTTGCCAAGAAGAGGCATTTTGTGAATTACTTTCCTCCTTTTCTCAACTGTTGTACTGAACATATTTTCTTCTGAAAAGAGAAGGAATTAACAAATATTTTTGACATCATAATGCTAAACATTCCTTGCTCCATTTTCAGATATGCTTTTGGGTAATTGCCTCAGCTCGTCAAATACAGAAAATGAGAAAATTTTACTTTAGGAGAATAATGAGAATGGACATAGGATGGTTTGACTGCAATTCAGTGGGAGAACTGAATACAAGATTTTCTGAGTAAGTGGCTGATAGGACGTTTTAATGTATGCATGATTTTTTGATAATAAAACATTTATTTCTAAATTAAATAACAAGTGGAAACATTTTCAGTTATTTTTGGTATGTTTTATCTCTTAAGTTAGGCTTTTTAAGCATGGCTTTTTCATAGGTAATGCTTTATCAAATATGATCATTGTAAATTGAAAGCCAGGATATTACAATATGGTTTGTAGGCCCTTGATTAAAATATTAGAAACAAAGTATTACAGAAGGGCGTTTTAAAATGTAGGGTTATTTGGCCTCAAACGGAGAAAGCAAGGGATGTCACAATCTAGGTATCTGTAAAGAAAATAATACAATTAGAACAAATTATCTTGCTTTATCTGTTGAGGTAATTTCCGTACGTAAAAACAAAAACAAAACAATTCATAATAGTTTAAGAAAGATTCAAACTAAAAAACTGGATTTAAATCCAGTTTATACTTAAATATTAGCTTAGATCATTAATAGCCCCCTCAATAATTCTTAATGAGCCCTGAGTAATTAAAGCCAGGTGTACCCTATTAAATTGAACGTTGAAGTCCTATGAAAGGTAATGTGTAGTGTAGTGAAGATAAAAGCAGACTGAATGTTGGGACCCTTAGATTCTAGCATTCATTCTGCCTCTTACTATGACCTTGAACCGATACATAACCTTGCTAGAATACAATTGTCTAATTTCTAGGTAATGTCTTAGGTTCTTTTTTCCTATCAAGTCTTGAGCCCTATTTGTTCCATTTGGACAAGAGATTATGGAAATGTCCCTAGGAATGTAAATTTAATTTAACTATATTCAACCAATATTCTGGAGCACTTACTCTATGCAAGGCATAAAGATAAAGCACAGAACTAATCTCAAGGAATTTAAGACTAGTAAGGAGGATGAAAGGTGCAAGTAAATAAATAATCAGAACAAATACATGTTGATTGCTTACTATATTGTAGGCCTGTTTTACATACCCTACATATATTAGGAAATCCTCATTACTACCCATTGATGTAGGGTCTGTCATTATCCCCATTTTACAAATGAGGAAATTGAGGCACAGTAAGGTTAAGTAACTTGACCCAGAAAAGCTGGTGTTTCAATTCAGAGTCTGGCTCTGGAGTCTATGCTATTCTTTACCACTATTCTTTACTGTTTATAAGTAGAATGCAATAATTACATACACATACACACATATACAGATTAATTATATTGCTATGGAAACACAGGGAGGACAATGTTACTTCTTTCTAGGGAATTATATTAGTTTTTATGAATTAGGTGATATGTGAGTAGAACCTTGAGGCTGAAAGGACTTAGCAGGTATAAGAAGGAAAGAAGGGCTCTTTAGGACAGACCAAAGATATTAGCTATAAAAAAGAAAGAGACAAATAGGATGGTTTCCAAAAGTCTTTGTCAAAGTTTAATGAACACCAGTTAGGAAAACTGGGTCAAGGACAAACTTACTTGGCTATGAGGGGAGAGGCTTGATGACCTCCCAAGCTGCAGCTAATTTTCCAAGATGTGAGAGTCAGTTATGTTTCCCAAGGGCAATAGGGCACAGAGATGGGAGTATTTAAAAGGGAAAGACTGAGGTTTCTCAGCAAGACATTTGAATTGACCAAATTCCATTTTAGTGATCAAAGCCTCTCTTGTTTCTAGTGATATTAATAAAATTAATGATGCCATTGCCGACCAAATGGCCATTTTCATTCAGCGCATGACCACAAGCATCTGTGGGTTCCTGCTGGGATTTTACCAGGGTTGGAAACTGACCTTGGTCATTATCTCTCTCAGCCCTCTCATTGGGATTGGAGCAGCCATCATTGGTCTGGTAAGAATATCTTCTCATTTCTCCCCATGAGAAGACATTTGCTCTGAGAAAGAGCCAAAAATATAAGCTTGAGTCCCTTCTCCTAAGTATATTTAGTCAACATCTTTATTACTATTTTGATCGATTATTCCTTGGTATCAAGTGACATTTCATAGATTAAGTATTAATGATAACAAGATCATAAATATTATTGTAGTAATAACAATAACAGCTACATGTATTGAGCATTTACTATTTTGCCTGGCACTATGAGGAGGTTCATATACATTATCTGTAATTTTTACAACAGTCTTATAAAGTATTAATGCCATTTTAAATATAAGAAATCGAGGCTCAAAAAGGTAAAAGGATTTACCTGTCTGAGACTGCACAGCTAGGATGCAATAGTATTCAACTTCAAGGGAGCTGAAATCCAAATTTCCACTCACTCTCCAATATGCCTATTGCTTTCCATGATCTCTCAAGCTAGACTCTCCCCTCCAAAACTTCCAACAAACATACCCAGGTCAGTAACAAGCACATAAAAGAGATTTCTGCAATCATAACTCTGTTCTCCATTTCATGTGAGCAGTTGCAGAGAGAGGTTACCTGACCCATTCTGAACAGTTTCCCAATAGTCTCCATTCTCCAAGTATGCAGGTCAAGAAAAAATGTAGGAGTAGGAATTTTGGGTCATCTAAGTCAAAAAAAAAAAAAAAACTAACCAAGAATTGAGAAATTATTATATCTTACTTTTAGAGCAGCCACGTTAGATAGCAGGTCATAGGATCAGACTCAGGCACACTAATAATTTGCCGTAATGAGAGTAGAATTCAAATGAAAAGCTCATATCATTGAGTAACAGGTACCAATCTCCATGATGATATTTTCTAGCAAAAATATTCTCTACAATCCACTAACTATACTATTCAAACTTTTCCCAGTTAAGACAGAGGGAAAATAGCAAAGAGCTCATTCCACTTAACTAGGTCACTCCCTGGCTCTTCATCTGGCTCAAGAAAGATATGTTTAACCCCTCAAAACTTAAGTTTCCTCATCTTAAAAACAAGGATAATACCTCCCAAAGTCATCGTGATGACTTTGTCAAATTCAAGGCATAATCCATGGTATGCACTTAGCCCAGCATCTGGCACAGAATTCATTACAAAAGAAATATTAGCTTTTATTGTTTTCCAATCCATCATATCATGCAAACATTCCAACAGCCTTTCCTACCAAATGCTTTCCAGCTGCACTCCTAGGAGCCTCAGTTTCCACAGAGGCCCTGTGAGGATTCTGCTAACATTGGATTCAGATTTTTTTCCTCCTCCACATACATTTAATCTCTTTCTTCAAACTCATGCTAGATTAATATTCATATTCAAATGGATCGTATATCACATTTTAACATGTTGGAGACCCAACAGGTAGCCTGGTTAACTTAGTTTTAAGCAGGCTTAGAGCACGGTTTTTCTTGCCTCAGTGCCCATATTTCAACTTCTTGTAAGTGCATCACTGACTTGGAATGTGGTAGCTCTGCACTGATTTCTTCTTGAATTCAAGTCTGGGCATGTTTGTGTAAAATGACACAAGCCACTTCACTAGGCTCAATTTAATACCAGAAGAAAGAAAGGTGGAGAGGCAATATATGGCACGTTGGATGTTATTGTGGGTTTTGTTTGCCTTTGACTGACTTTTATACTTATGATGAAAAAAATGAGCAATTGTTAGATATTTCCCAAACTACACCTTTTCAGCTACTGTATCAGTTTAATTGAAGTATCCTGAGATTATTTAATGTGCCATTACAATAAAAACTGATAACGTTCACAACTACTTAATTTTTCATTACCGTTGTTCATTATTAAACGCAATGTCTTTTTTATTTCCTTTTGTAAAAAGCAAAGGTAGATAGTTGAGCCCCTATAGTTGAGTCAAAATAGTGTAATATTTACTTGAAGCTTTCTTCTATAGAATGCCTCTGTAGCACCATATCTTTGCATGCTCGGTACCTCTCTCTCATTCTATATTCTGACTAACATGATGCCTGCATCGATTGGCCTCTGATCTTTGCCTCTGATGTTTATCTGTGAATTGTGCAATGGCCTTTGGCCGATAGCAATGAAACGTGGTATGGCTGACTTGAAAACTTCACTGCTGTAGACTGAAACACTGTGGTCTCACAGAATTCCCTATTTGAGATTTATTCTGTGAGAGGGTGTTTGAGGCTGATGTTTAGTGCAGTCATTTTGATATGTCAACAAACACCTGTGGATGGAGCTTAACAAAGTTGGACCAAATTCGTTCCTCAGTGAATGCTGTTACAGTGAGAATCTAGTCTTATATTAAACCATGCCACTTGTTTACTCTCCTAAATGAATCCCTGAGTGACAGACAGAACTTTCCTAATTACCTGGTCTTCACGTTTTATTTTCTTCTTTTGGATTTTAGAGTGTGTCCAAGTTTACTGACCATGAATTGAAAGCCTATGCCAAAGCAGGGTCAGTGGCTGATGAAGTTATTTCATCTATTCGAACAGTGGCTGCTTTTGGTGGTGAGAAAAGAGAGGTTGAAAGGTTGGTTAATTGAAATATCTGCCACGCTTCTGAATTTCATTGATGCACACATTACCCCGAACCTTCCCCATTTTGTACAAAATCACCTTGGTCTATGGTACCCTGAGGGAGATTTAGTTCAAAAGGTAGCTAAGCAGAGTAATTAGATTGATCAAAGCACTGCAAGGACTCCCAAGCCTTTAGTTATATGTTTTTGAAGGTGTTGTAATTGGTAATTTTTAGAAAGCCATGTTGGGTTAGATATTTCAAACTCTGGTGGAGTGTATATATACATACTACATACTGCATGACAGTCTATAACATTGTTTGATGCCATTAAAGAAAAGCCTACCATCTAAAACATAATACCACACATTTTTATTTGACATTTTTTATTCAGTGTGTTTTATTTAGCTACTGTACTACACACCCTTCATCAAGTCTGATAAGATTTTGATTTAATCAAATTTAGCATTGATATATATAGACCATCATTCTAGGAGACTAATTCTCAATGAAAAAAAAAAAAAACCTAAATGACCAAAACAACACAGTTGTCAAAAATTGATTTCATTTATTCTTCCATTTATCTAGCATGTATTGAGTGCTTACTAGGTGCCAGGTACTGATTTTATAAAATAATCACCAACTTAATCAAGCTTTTATTTCATGTGTTGTAGATCTAACATGATGGTGTTATTCTCAATTGCTAGCAAATTCACCAAATAAAAAAGAGAATAGGATTCAATTTTGTCCTATGAAATGTTAAAAGTTCTCTATTAATTTATTTTTTGAGACACAGGAAGACAGTTACAGAATGCCTGAGCTTTAAGGCAATGTCCACTATTAATGGCTAAATCTTAGAATTACTGAAATTTAGCATTTGGATTGAATTTCCACATAGTCCCATGTCCCATGGCTATGGACCAGTCATGTTACAACAGAGCATTCTTGGTCACAGGGAAGAAGGGTGAGTATATGTAGATGAGTTGGTGCAAACACTAGTTTCAAACCTGGGAGGAAAACAGTTGCATTATTTTTTAATAGAAAGCATGTCATGTGACTTAATAAAACAATTCAAGCACAAATAGTACTGGATCCCTTGTGTCCAAGCATTTGTGCTGTAAATTCTTTTCTCTTTGGGGCAAAGCTTAATCCACTGTACTCCTTCAAGAAATAATCAACTATGAGGCTTTGTTAAGCATCATCCCTTCAACACATTTCATCACCAGGTTGAAACAAACTTTAAATAACTACACAGAAGTTATTAGTTTTATTTTGTTCTGTTTTGTTTTGTTTTGTTTTCCCTAAAGCTGCTCTGTGTTTGGGTGATTTTTTAATCATTGAAGAAAATCACTGCATTGTGGTCTGTTTTAAACATTCTAACTTGAGTTGCAACTGCTGATTCTGAAATAGACTCAAATGTTTTCTCTTCATAGGTATGAGAAAAATCTTGTGTTTGCACAGCGTTGGGGAATTAGAAAAGGGATAGTGATGGGATTCTTTACTGGATTCATGTGGTGTCTCATCTTCTTCTGTTATGCACTGGCCTTCTGGTATGGCTCCAAACTTGTCCTGGATGATGGAGAATATACAGCAGGAACCCTTGTCCAGGTATTTTGATCTTGATGACCCACACATAATATTTCCTGCTAGTATCTTAGAAAAACCCATAGTTAAGGCATTTAGTTTATTCCTTTAATGTCTGAGGGAGGAAAGCATCAATGATTTGAAGGAGTCCATCTGCAGAAACAAGCAATATTTATACAATCTCTAGTAAAGGGAAGCTGAGCATTTGAACTGACGAGACCAGCGATTTAATGATTTTCATTTAAATGAAGATTTTATAGCTGTAAAACAATGATTTTCTGACTGAGTCCAAAAGGTAATATGCCATGGAAATTGTGATCTCTGAGTTAAAAATTAGCAGCTCATGTAGTTGAGCTCAATAATAGTACAAGATAAGGGCTATTTGTGAAACATAATGAGTTACTAGAATACCAGTTCGATAATATCCTCAATTGAACAGATAATAAATACAACCATATTTTATTACTCACTTGTGCTATAGTCATGCTATAGCTACTTTAATTTTCAATATCCTTTCAATTGTTCTTTCAAGAATTAATTACTGAGAATCCACTATATGCCAGACACATACAAAGTGCAGGGGCTTCAATAGTGAGCAAAGAAATGTGATCTTCACCCTGATGGAATTTATAGTTTAGTAGGGAAGATGAGCAATAAACAAATAATGACATAAATGCATAATGGCAAACAGAAATGTGCTATAAAGTAGAAGACAGGGAACCTTGACAGCGAATAGCAGAGTTACCAGGTATGGTTGGGGGCAGGGAAAGTGCTTCCTCCTGTTCACTCTGCTTAGCTTATGGTCCTTCCTGTTAAAGCGGGACTCTTGTCATTGTTCAGATTCTCAGATGAACGGCACTTCCACAGCCAGGCCTTCCATGCTCATCCAATCTTTTATTCTCTTACATGGCTTGGTGATCTTTTCCTTCAGAGCACTTGAATGAAAATGAACATTTGCAGTTATTGACATTTGTTTCTACTCCTTTCCACCCTCACACTGAGGCTAGGGAGGTCAAACATGAAATACATGTTTCATTTGGCCTATTAATTATTTAATTAAGTATATTATTTTAAAAAACATGGAGATGGGAAGTGGTTTCATATATGATTCTTAAATAAAATATTTTTGTTCCAGATTCTAGGTTGGACAGGCACCAGTTAAACAAACAAACAAAAATCTTATATACCAGAAATTTGCTGGCTGAAAGCCTGCAATTTGAGATTTACTGCTTTAATTTAAATGTATTTCTAGGGAAGGTTGAATGACAATTTTATTTCAAATAGATATAATAGATTATCAGAGGTCAAAACATAATCATTCTAAGCCACTGACTTTATTTCATTAACAGCATAAAACACTAAGAGCAATATTTTAAAATTCAGTTCTTCTTTGCAAGATGAACAGTTGTCATCACTTAAACTTTATTACAAAATTAAATATGATAATACATGTTACAGTGTTTTGTAAATCTTAAAGGGATGGTGTGTAGCTGGAAAATGTTACTATTATTGTAATTTACCCACTTCCTTAACTTTAATATAGCTTTGCACACTTAAAAAGCTAGTGAAAGTATTACAGGTTGAAATATGTCTATAAATTCCCTTGTCTTTATTGATCTAATAACTCTTAAGAATTTTCAACATTTACCAAACTAGAGAATTGACTCTAGTCCCGGCTGCTTATATCTGCTCATTCTACAGAAGGGCATGAGTTGAGAAAAGACATCCTTTCATTCCATGCCTGCAAGGAGAGGAGAGAGGAGGGCACGAATAATAGTTAGAGGGCAAAATAAATTGGTAAATTGAAAATTAAATAATACATGATTCCAATTCAAAATACTGAATTAAAAAAAACCCCTTGGTAACTCTCTCTCTAGCAAGAACCAATTTTATGGGTCTCTTAAAAGGTAAACTAAGGCATATAAAAAATTTTAGGTGTTTATTTGAGCAAAAATAATACCAATTAGGCAGTGCCAAAACAGAAGTCGTTAGAAAGGCTTCACTGATAAGAACAAGGGGAAAGACTTTTATAGAGGTGGAAGCAAAGCAAGGAAATTGTTTGGTTGACTATAGCTGAAACAATTGCCTTGTTTGGGAAAGCCTAACTGGCTATTTGTGATTGGTTGTCTTTAGATTTTGATTTCTTAACCTTCAGGTATTTTGTGCTAAATTTTGATTTGCTTATGTAGGCTACTATGGCATTAAAGTCACCTAATAGCCTTCTTGTTTAACTAATTTAACATTTGTCACCTTCAAGTTTCCTGCCAGTTGGACTGTGGGCTATTCTACACCTTCTGTAAATAAATCTTTCAATGGATATTTCTTGACTCGTTACTATGTACAGACATGGCATACTATGTGTCTCTAACATTTTAATCATCAATCATTATCTCACCTTTTATTCCTAACTTCTTCCAGCAAGCTTCTTTCCTTTACACATTAAGACATTTTTCTTTGGAATGGTGAGAAACATCTTCTAACAGTATAATCATTGATTGTTTCTCTCTCTCTCTCTCAGTCTCTCTCTCTCTCACTCCACTCTCCACTCTCCACTCTCCACTCTCCACTCTCCACTCTCCACTCTCCACTCTCCACTCTCCACTCTCCACTCTCCACTCTCCACTCTCCACTCTCCACTCTCCACTCTCCACTCTCCACTCTCCACTCTCCTTTCCTCTCTCTTTTGCTCACATGTGCACATACCTTTTTGGCCATACTTTTGAGTAGCAAACTATGAAATCTGAGTATGAATGAGCTGAGTTGAGTGTTTTAATTCTAATTAAATTCAAAACTAATTAACACTGTTAATTAACACTGTTAATTCAAAACTAATTAACACTTAGGTTAATCTAACACATTTTGTGATGCACAAAATCATTATTGGCTGTATGGTAATTGAGCATAAATGGTAAGTAGTTCGCGTAAATGACTGTAATTAGTATCACACATACAGAGACAAAATCGCACTCTGATCTACAAGGAAAAAAAGATAAAAGGGAACTGAATGGTGTAAAGGGCTGCTCTTTACTCTCCTCTTAAGTTTCAGGACCCAACAATAAGAAATAATAGCAGTAGTAGAGAGTAACATTATTTAGTGTGTACAAGGTGTGAGGAAGCACTGAGTGAGGCATTTAATAAAATTACCATATGTAATACTCACAACTTCATTCTATAATTGATGTCATTATACTACCCATAAAATGAAATGGAGCTATGAGGTTGAGAAACATGTGCCAAGTGGCACAGAGTGGAATTTAAACACTAGTCCCTATGACTCTGAGGCCTGATCCATTAACCTCTGTTTTTCTACCTCTGGATCTGTCTTCTAAGAAGCCACAGATACCCCTTTCCTCCAGCACAGCACACAGATAAATACTACCCCAGCAGTCCTTCTTGCTCTCCCTTTTCCCATACTAGTGTCCACAGGGCTAAAGACTGATATTTGGGGTCAGAAATGATGTGTACTGGGATGTGTACTAGCTCTCATGAAGTATTAGGTGCGTGCCTCTGTCCTGTCTCACTCACTCTTCCCCTGAGAACTCTGAAAGAGACATTTGCTTGAGGTAATACTTGCAAAGCCTGGCTGAGCAAGGATTTGACCCCAAACCTTTGTTTAGGACCGTAATGAATCAGTCTAGAATTCTGACCAGGGGCCAGCAAACTATGGACTGCAAGTGAAAACTAGCCTGCTGCCCGTTTTTGTAAATAAAGTTTTATTGGAAAATGGCAACAACCATTTGTTTAATATTGTCTATGGCTGCTTAATAGCCATAGACAATAGCAGAGCTGAGTTATTGCTTCGGAGCCCACATGGCCAGAAAAGCTTAAAATATTTACTACCTGGCCTTCTACAGAAAATGTTTGCTGACCCCTGATGTGGGACATGTGGAAAGCTTCCTTTGCTCAAGTAGAAAGACTTTGGATGAAGGTGGTCTTAACCCAAATTACACCACAATTGCCATTCTGTCTATTCCCCTCATCACTTCCTTAGTAGGGACTATTGCTTCTTTCATCATTGTCAGTACTATTATGTAACTGAACTGGATTAATCACCTTTACATGCATTATCTCATTTAATTCTCATAATAATCCCATGAAGTATATGTTATTATTATTTTTGTGTTATAGATAAAGAAATCAGACTTGAAAGATTATGTAATCTGCCCATAGAAGGAACTACTCACCATAATTAAGGAAAAGGATCAGAAGGACGGATGAAGAAAGAATATTCGTCCTCATACATAGAGTGAGAAATTCAAGGAGAAGTCAGGAAGGGGCTGACCCACATCATCCTGATGTGTGGAATGAAGTGGTTACTGGAGATGGCTGGGAGTGTCTGAGAAGCCCCATGGTCCAGCCATAAGGAAGAAAGAGCAGGGAGGGACTCTGGGAAGAATACAGCTCACGGAAACCACCACAGACTAAGATCATTTGATTACTTGAAAAAGACTACATTCATTCAGGGGTCAACCTTTAGCTCAGCAAATAACTGCAATCCCCAGCAGAGGGTGGTTATTGAAACATCCTCCCTGTAAGTCATGTGACTGGCAATCATTCTGCGGTTGAAAGGAGACAGGGAAGGAGTCTTGTGCTCCTTCTAAAGACCAATGAGAGGAATTTGCCTCATTGCCTATTCATTTATAAACAGCACAGATAAAAACAGAGTGCTCTTTGGTAGGAACATCTAATCATGATCAGGTAACCTTCACCTAACTTAATGAGATGGATGGGTTGGCGAGTCAAGGACAGCCTCCTGAGCTCTGCACAGCAACCTGGCCACTCTACCTGCATGCAGCCACCAGCAGAGGAGCCTGGGAACTAGACAGAACATTAGTCAGGAGCCTGGGTCCATATACTGCTCTTCCACTTAATATATGTTGTGACATAGGGTTAGTTAAGAAACCTCCATACGTTTCAATAAAATCTTCTGTTGTAAGGATTAAGTGAAGTAATACAGGTAAAGTACTTAGAAACATACTTATTATTATTGTTATTATTATTGCTAGTAATAGTATAGTACTACTAGTGGTAGCAATAGTTATCCTAATAACTAGGATATGAGTAGCTATAATGTAGCAGCAGTAGCAGATCTATATTACATATTACATATACCAGTCTCTAGGACAATCAAGCTAATCATAGTATCTTTATTGTTTCAGGGATCTTTTAACCAGAAAAATAAACCAAAACATTAGAAGTTCTTTTATATAATGAATCCAATGATCATAGCACTCTTCTAACCCGCTTCGTGTTGATTGAAATCTCCGAGTTCACATGGATAGCCCAAAAGATAATGCTATTTACAAATTGACAAAAAACACATAAAAACTATGTTTATCTTTTCTCATTTCAGATTTTTCTCAGTGTCATAGTAGGAGCTTTAAATCTTGGCAATGCATCTTCTTGTTTAGAAGCCTTTGCCACTGGGCGAGCAGCAGCTACCAGCATTTTTGAGACAATAGACCGGGTATGTAAAAGCCAAAAGTAAAGGTCATTCATAGATTGGGGGTGGGGAGAGGAGTGAACTCCTGAGGAATTTACTCTCAGTGTTAAAAATTTATGAGGAACTATCACAATGTCCTTCATTCAGCAATACTTAACAGGTGCTCTCCTGAGCCAGGCCCCACTAGGAATTGGGAGTGCAAGAATGAAATAGAACAAATAAAGCACCTGGTTCATATCATACTGGGAAACAAGTAATAAAGAAGTAAGCACATTCAAAGATTAGATAATATTAGACAGTAATAGGTACACTGAAAGAAATAAAATAGGTCAACTCGATAGTGATTGGGGTTGGGGAAGGAGGCTTTAAATTGAGCTACAAGGATGGGTGACATCATCTCTGAAGAGTTAGTATTTGAGCTGAGAATCAAAGGAGAAGAGTTAGCCATGCAAAGGCAAACTGGGGGAGGGGAGGAGTGGTGCATGGGAGATAAGAGCAGGGAAGGTGTTCACAGAAAAAGGACACCCATGCTGGAAAGGGGCTTGGTAACTGCAAGGAAGTAAAACAAGGTCAGAGTGACAGAACGTAGTGAGTAAAGGAAAGGGATCAGATCATTCAGGACTGTAAGGCCAATTTCATAAGATTGGATTGTCTTCTAAATGTGACAGGAAGTCTCTATATGCTTGAAAAGGAACCAGTAGCCTGGCTAGGATTTTCCTGGTTAATCTATTGAAGTACATCAAAAGTCAAGCTAGAAAGTCAAAATCCAAGAACAGAATAGGGAAGATGGCGATATGTTGTTCTTTCTCTCAGAAAAAATGCCCTGGACTGAGAATCAGAAGCCCTAGAAATCCAGACATGCTTCATGGGTCCCCTAAATCATAACTATTTTTAAGGCATATGACCTGCTTGAGAAAATTTCTCACCACTTTGTTTTATATTTTGGGGTTTCATATATTGGGGTATGAAGAGACTGTCAAAAATCACATAGACATGTTGAGCTATCCAAATTCTGCCTCTTTCTTACAGTTGTTATATGCTCAAGTAAGATGATGAGTTTAAAACTCCCTGAAACTATTACAGAAAATTAAGGCATTCAAAAATTATTTTACTATCTTTATTAGAAAAGCAGGGAGAAGAAAGTAAATTACATGATAGCCCTTAATAGAGATACGATGATAAATTTCTCTCATGAGTGTGGAAGAGGGAAGAAGCTAACCCTGGAGTGTTCTAGCAGCAAGAGATGGCCCTCACTCTTGTCTGATTAACTAGAATGGTTAACTACTAGATTAGACACACTACTAATAACAAAGGAGAAATTCAGCATATCAGTTGAAAGCTGGTAGTATTTGAAAACGCCACTTGAGGACATTCAGTTAGTTTTAATCATCATTTACAATAGTTACTCAAATGTCATAGTAATATATCAATTAAATAATAATAAAATTAAATTAATGTGATATATATCAATTATATAATTGACATATTTCATATTAAAATTAATTATATGTTAGTTACTTATGTGTTTGTGGTATATATATGTAACATATCATATCACTATTCTATGTAACATAACATACTTATACTATTATATATATTATATATATAAGTATGTAACATACTACATACTTATACTATTCGTATGTAGTAATATATCACATATTAATATCTCATTAAATGGTAATATTATTACTATTATTAATAATTATTTAATATGAAAGCAACTTATCTTTAGCATATCTCTGCAAAGTTTTACCTGGTTACTATTCAGTTTTATGAGTCAATTCAAATTGAGATGCTCCTAACACCTGTTGTTGCTGGATCCTTTTTCCACTCCACTCCAGAAACCTATAATTGACTGCATGTCTGAAGATGGTTACAAGTTGGATAGAATTAAGGGTGAAATTGAATTTCATAATGTGACCTTCCACTATCCTTCCAGACCAGAGGTGAAGGTAAGGTCCAATCTCTTCTCTAGGAACGATAGCATTTCCTTCTTTGATGATTCATTTCCAGAGCCATGAATTACTTGTTTTTCAGAAGTATGACTCAGTTTCCAGGAACACGGAACAGAGCATGTTTCTCTGAAAATGTCCTTAGGTGTCATGTCATTTCTCAGACAACAAACCACATTCCTTTGTGACAACAATAATGTGCAAATCCCTCTGGTGGTAACACAGTCTGGCAGCATGTTTCGGGTTAAGCCAACTGTATAATAGATACTCTGTCGAAATGAATGGCAGATCCTGTCATTGTAACCATAAGCTAAATAAACTGCAAGGCAATCAGAACAATTAAGAAGCACAGCTGTGTCAAACCACCTCCTTAGAGGCAGAACACTTGGAGTAGGTAAGGTATGAAGTAGTAAAAGAAAGCTGCTGTCTTTGTAGTTTTTTACTTTCCATCTGTAATTTCAGCTGGGCTGCTAGATCAGTCCTTGGAGGAAAGGTAATCTTGTGATATGCTTATATGTCGATTGTCCAGGGCACTTGGTGAAGAAAATTTAGTTTTTCCTTAACCTCCTGGGTAAATATCTTTAAAAGCAATTTACTCTATAGGAAAATTAGAATCTACTCCCCCTGAAGGAAATATCTTTGAGTGAGACTTATTCCTCATTTTTAACAGAGTATCTCTAGCCATCCATTCTTACTAATATTTCTGTTTCCCCACAGAGCTAAATCCTATACAGCTTAATTCTTATACCACATACCTATAATGTAGGTAAATATATATACACACGTGTGCATACATACACACATCTATTACATGGATATATAAAACATAAGTACATACACATTGTAATTATATTTATGAAGTATATTTTTGATTAACATTATAAACTGCATATGTACCTAAACATTAAATGTCATAATATATGTAAAAGTACTACAAGGCAGTGCTAATTCTGTAAAGTTTATTGAATGGGTGGCTAAAATCTTCCTTTGTGATCTCTGTTCAGAACGAGCTCATAATAGCCATTAACAAATACTGGTTGCGTACAATCAAATACAGTACAATAAGTGAAAAAGTATTTGCAAGCCTCACTCTTTAGTATGAAATGAAAGACACATGAGATTTTGTCACACGGAGGATGCGAAATCACCTTTACATAATAAGTACAAAAATCACCACTGAATTGGTGAAACTATCCAACAGATGGTTATGAATTAGCTTTTTGTTCCTCCCTTTCAGCATTCAGCCTCTACCTTGAACAGAGCTTTGTACCTAGCAAGCACACCACAAAAATTTGTTAGGTAAAGTTATTCAAATAATATGTTCACATGCAATACAAGTGTATGACAGCTTAAACTTTGCAAATTGGTTTATTATTAATCTGTGATCAGTAAATTAGTACTGTATCTCTAACTTAATGGCTTTCTTCCCTTAACTAATTGGAACAGTCTTCTTGAGGTATACTAGCATGTCAGAAATGTTTTAAATTAGATTCTGGAACTTACTTTTAAAAGTTGACATGGCTGACTTACTTCAAGTGTTACCACACATCATTTTATTTGTTGGTTAAACTTATCAGTTAAATAATAAGTAATGTGCTAAATGCTAAAACCTCACGTTAGGCACTTTTTACTAATTTGATGCTTATTGGTGAATACTGCTTGTGGGGCATAAGTAAATACACATACGGTGTCCTCACAAAGCATTCTAACTTGTAGCTTAATTGCTGACAATCTGAACATTGTTCTTTTCTTCTCTGCAGATTTTAAATAACCTCAGCATGGTCATTAAATCAGGAGAAATGACAGCTGTGGTAGGATCCAGTGGAGCTGGGAAAAGCACAGCTCTGCAGCTCATTCAGCGATTCTATGACCCCAGTGAAGGCATGGTATGAGTCTTCCAGAAAAACTTCTCAATACAGAAAATGAGAGAGTGCACATGGTGACACTTTGGTCATACACTAAAGCCTAGTTTACACTGAGATCATGCTGACATACATGTAGCTGACTTAATGATTTTGACTGAGTTGACTGTACCAGTTCCTTGCATGGTGACCATGTCTGCTGAATGCCCAGTCCATTCGCTCAGTGATGGACCTGAATATGCAGATGCATTCAAAATGGTATTACTGCTTCTTCAGTGAACTATTTTTATTTCTTTCTTTGTATTGTGACAAAATCATTATAGTTTAACTGAAGTTCTCCAGATGGTAAGTATAGGAAAGCTTACACCATCAGAATTAACAGAGAACAGCTCTTGATTCTTTGAGAAGTTAGGTATAAAAAATTTTTATATAATTTTTACAAACTACTTAGTCTTTTATTCCTTGTGTTTATTTTATTATAACCATAGACTGAAACTAAGAAATAAATATTAATAATTGGCATTTATTTATCACAAATTATGATTCAAGCACTTTATAAAAATGATTACTTATTTTCACAATGACTGCCAAAGGTAAATATGCCCAGTTTACAAATGAGGAAAACGTCAGATAGATTTGAGACTTGCCCCTGGATTTGAACCCAGGTCAGATGGATGCCAAAGGCTATCCTTTTTTCACTTTCAAAGTCATTCTTGTCAACATCTATTTGATGCCCTGAGATAGAATCATTTGACTATATATTAAATGGTTTCAATGCCACGAGTTCTCTATAATGTATGTACTGTGAACAGTGACATGGCAAACATGCCAGAAATTTACTTTGTCACAGACATTTCACCCTTCGGGTATTTTTTTGCTATATACTAGTATAACTGTACTCTGAATATATACAAATCATGGTTTCATGATGTAAGATTTTTACAGCTTTGCTGATAGTGCTTTCTATTTTATCTCACTTATAGTTTCAATTGCTTTTGAACAGCAAAGTGCTATTTGATGAATCCAGCAGAAAGTAAGACTTACCATCAACCATATACACAAGATAGGGATCATTGCTTATTTCCATTATATCTTTTGAAGTCCATTTTTAGTTCACAAGTCAAAACATAATAAAAATACTCAAAGTATGATGAACAACTGACTCTACTCTTTATTGAGGAATTGAAAACTTTTCCATTCCTGGGCATCGTGTTAAACCAAGTGACTTTTACATCATTTGTGTTTCTACAGTGAATTGTCCTACAGCTATTCTTAATTTCAATTATACCTTGTCATCTTTATATAAACAATAAGATTATAAGAGGAATCGTTTCTGTTACAATCTTACAGGTCTCTCTTTTTACTCCCCATAGGTTAAATACAAGCGTAATATTGTGATTCAGAATCCTAAAGGATTCCAAGAGATGTGATGTTGTGCTCATGTTCTCTAGGTGACTTTGGATGGCCATGACATTCGCTCTCTTAACATTCAGTGGCTTAGATCGCAGATTGGGGTAGTGGAGCAGGAGCCCATTCTGTTCTCCACCACCATTGCCGAGAATATTCGCTATGGCAGAGAAGATGCAACGATGGAAGATATAGTCCAAGCTGCCAAGAAAGCCAATGCCTACAATTTCATCATGGATCTGCCACAGGTACCCTAAGCCTCTTATTACATGGGGAAACCCAGAAGCCGTAGAAGGAAAAAAAGTTATACAATAGTATGTATTTCTTTTTATTTGAATCCTAAATCGTTAAATTCATAATGTCATGTTTTAGTTTAATGCCTGGAAATGTACCATGAGCTATGTTTAAAAACATATTGTTAACATATTAAAAGTCTCCCAAACTGAGTAACTTCCTTTTAAGCTTCCCTTTGACACAGTCACAATTTCTTTATTTCATCTATTAAGCATTTGTCTAAGCAAATGATAAATTGTTATGTGGTAACAACTTGCACAATCCTCTTTTGATATCTACCATTATCATTGTTCTTTAATTTTCTTATGCTTAAACAGCTAATATTTTGTCCTTGGTACTGTACCCAACATATTTAAAAATTCCTCATTTATCTTCATCTTAAACAACAACTAAAATCCATTCCATATTCCATATGTATATAGATTTTGTGGCCAATGGTCAGCTAAGTCAAAGAAGAGTTATCACTAATTAACACTTATATAAGACTTACTACAAACCAGGCAATATTCTTAATACTTTATAGCTATTAATGCATTTAACCTTCATTTCACTATTCTCCTTTCAGGAAGCTTTTATTATTCTCCCTAACTATAGATGTAGAATTGAGGTTCTCAGAGATCAAATAACTTGCTCAAGGAAGGAGAGACAAGGCTCACACCCAGGCAGTCTTACTCTAGAGTCTGTGCTCTAGAACACTTCCTATTTGGCCTTCTAAACTACCTATATGAATAGGATTGCAGCCATGAGTACAATATAGTCTAGTTGTTAAAGAGTATAAAGCTTTAGCATCAGATTGCCTCCATACAAATCCCAGCTTCTCCACTTGCAAGCTTTATGAATTTGGGCAAGTTACTTTACCCCCTTATGCCCCAGAATTTCCTTATGCATCAATTAAGGAGAACAGCAGTACCTACCTCACGGGGTATCTGTGAGGACTAAATGAAATGATATGTGTGAGGAGCTCAGCTCCATGCTTTATACAGGTGCTCAGCTCTTAATAAGCAAGATAAGAATCTGACATCCACGCTTCATTGTGAGATTCCAGTGTAATGCTAAACAAGCAAGATACTCAGTAACTGCTGTCAATGGTAATGATTATAAAGCTAGTTTGGTCTTTCATTCACAATAAAAGACAGCTTTAGCATTATGTTTTTCTGTGTCGTGTAGCTAGAGAAAAGAGACAAGGACTTGATATGTGCTTAAATCCTCTAAAATGGATATTCGGGACCTGATCAACTTTTGTTTCGGTGGAAACATTTTATTTGAAGTTAAACTAAAAAGAAAGAAATATTTATACAGCCCAGTGAATCTGAGAATGAAAGACTAAATAAATTTATTTATCTTACATACAAATATTGATGAGACAATAATGCCTTGAGGCATTATTCTTGTTTCAGGAAGCGTATTTCTTTCAGCGAAAGTTGGACCTACAAAGGAGGAAGCTGGAAAGAACCTTGTGATGGATCACCGTCAGGAGTCATCAAATTCTTCCACTTCATTACTGGTATCACTTTCTTTCTAGCAATTTGACACTCTTGTTGGAGAAGGAGGAGGCCAGATGAGTGGTGGCCAGAAACAGAGAGTAGCTATTGCTAGAGCCCTCATCCGAAACCCCAAGATCTTGCTTTTGGATATGGCCACCTCGGCGCTGGATAATGAGAGTGAAGCCATGGTGCAAGAGGCATTGAGTAAGGTTTGTTGAAAGTCTGAGTTCATTTTACAGGTCCGTGTGGAAATGCTTGTGCTGCCGTATGAAAGGCTTCTTGCAGGTGGGGGAGGAGGTGGCGAGGGGAGAGAGAGAGAGAGAGAGAGAGAGACTACTCCTGGGTCCGTGTATCTAGTCTGACTGTTTAGAAAGTATTGGCTGACAATAATGTTTCTCACAGTTGAACAGAAGACAGTTATGATTTGCTCCCCAAAATTACACATATAAAACTTAAAATTTTGTTAAGCCTGACTTATAATATGTGATTTTCAAAATTTCCTGTTTTGTTTTTAGCTGTTGATTAATAGCAGCAACCGGACCAACATGTGATGGTATTTATGGCCTCGAGAAAGTGTCCTGGCCTTTCCTAATGTCTGCATAGCCTATTAAGGATTTTCCCAAGGACCAAGGCTCTGACTTATAGATTCTGAGATGATCCAAAGGTCAACAATGTCAGCTCTGTCTTCCATTCTTGTGTAACGTGCTCTGTCCATTCTTACAGATTCAGCATGGTCATACGATCATTTCAGTTGCTCATCGCCTATCCACAGTCAGAGCTGCAGATGTCATTATTGGTTTTGAACATGGTGCAGCAGTGGAAAGAGGCACTCATGAAGAATTGTTGGAGAGGAAAGGAGTTTACTTCACTCTAGTGACTTTACAAAGTCAAGGAGATCAAGCCCTTAATGAAGAGAACAGAAAGGGCAAGTCCTTTTTTATTTTACCCTTGTACATTATATTGAAGAGTTAATGTATATAATGCTTTATGTGCTTCAATGCATTTCAGTATATACTCTTACTTGATCTTCCAAAATCCCATCAAGGCATTATTTAGATGAAAAAGGAAAAACAGAAGCTAAGGAGGTTCGGTTACTTGATCAAATTATAGAGCTAAAATCTAGGTCTTCTGTGGAAGAACTTTCAACTCCATCTGTCTCTTTTTTCTCCCCAGTTTGTTATAAACTAGCTTCCTTCCTATAGTGTCCTGCACACGGTAGGAGCTCAATTCTTATTGGTTGAATGAATTAATCGATGAGTAAAATGTTTTATGCTTGTTTTTACTAATGTAGATAGATATTTCAGGCGATAATGCACCTTCTCTTTTTCAATCTGAATTTTAGATTTAGAGGTTTATTTCAATCTACATTAACCAACCACTCCAAACTTTCACTACCATATCGCTTCTCAATTTTTGAACTTCACTTGGTATAATTAGATAGTCTACAATTGGGTATAACTATATCATTGTATATAGTTAACAGGTGATTTATTCTAAAAATATATATATGTTTTAAATTGATGAGTCTATCATTTTTTCCACTTCTAATAGGCTTCCCTTAAGGTTTTTACGATTCATGCTCTAGGATATCTATTTCTGTGGTGATAACACATAGGCTATCATATAGTTCAAAAGATATAGTCTTGCTGAGTATTTTGATTTTTTTTTATTAAAATGTGCTGAACAAGTACTAAATTCTATTTATTGCAATAAAGTTAATAGAATGTTTTAGCATCAGACATGGTAATGATATAACCGGCAAACATAGTAAATAATTTTATTCTACTTATTGTATACACTAAGGAATCCTTCATGTTGTGTTGAATAGGAAAAGATGAAACTGAAGATGCCTTCCTTGAGAGTGAACAGACCTTTAGCAGAGGGAGCTACCAGGCTAGTTTAAGGTAAGTCAAGCCATGGGACAGATTTTAAGGTTTTCAAATGTTCTTAGAAGCCTTCTGCAGCTGTGATCTTTAGGCAATGTCTTGGGTGCTATCAGGAAAGCCCTGGGAATGGCACCAGATCTTGTATAATATGAACATGCAAATAAATCCTGGGTTGCTATACTGACATTTCTGTTTCCATTTCCTGGGAATTTTTTGTTTAACTTTGGCTTCTCATCTTATCGGGGGTAGGATCATGATAGAGACACTCTATAGTTAAAATGTTATTTATTGAGTTTAGAAAGGAAATTAAAAAAAAAAAAATCTGTGTTTAGTCTTTCTTCTGCAAAGCTAACTGTGGTATGAAGCACCATCTTCTATGGTGGTCAAATTCATTCCTTTAGCTCCACTCTTTAACGTATTAAGTTACAATGAATTCAAACATTTTTTGCTTCCAGAGTAACCCATCCGAAGTCAAACCATGCCTTAGCTAAATAAAATAAGAAATGTACTTTATAATATTTAAAGAGAATTTTCCTAAACATTTGCTATTTATTTTTCTGTGGATGACTATATGGGTATTCAGTTTCAAAACATATTTTTGGAGTATGTTATTAGCAAGACTGTAAACTTTAGTCTTTCATCCTGATTTAAAAGTTTCAATAAACAGCTCCTTTAAAGTTCAAAGTCTGTGTCTTAAGAAGAATTCTGCCCAGTACTATTTGTCTATATTCATGAAAATGTTATTCAAGATTTTTTTTTAGGTTAGGAGACTGTTAGTAGGTAATGGGCTGAGAGTATATTTCTGTACCTCTGCTCTACCGTTTCTATGATATTTAGCTCAGGGCAAAGTTTTGAGCAAAGGCTCAGTTATAGAACTTGTTCATTCAAGATAGCTAATTGTTTATTGAAAAGTGGTTAAAGAGGCTTAAAACAAAACAGTCAGGTAACAACTCCCAGTAGTTCAAACACAGATTTATTTTTAACAGCAAAAGAATAATTCACTAAGTTTATGCTTGGAGTTTTTTTATTTTTCCTTTCGAGAACACGTCTATTCAGAAAAATTTCATGAATTGCTAGTTTTATTCAATTTATTAAATTTGGAAAATAAAGTCATAGCTTCAAGTTATCCTAGAAACTAAAAACTATAAAAATTGCCAAAATTGTTAGGCAATTTTTATAGACTTCTGGCATCATGTTTAACCATACTTTGCAGATTGGAAAAACGAATTAAAGTATAAGGGTCATTAGAATCACAACCTGAGTATATCAACTAATTTCTTAAACACAGAAAATAACTAAGCATCCCCTTTGATCACTAGGTTAAAGGTTGCTAAGAGAAGACTTATCTATTTCGCAGTTATGTCAACAAGAAAATAAATATTTTCCTAACTTTTCAGATGAACCAAATTCTACCTTATCTAAGCAGTTTACTTACAGTTTATTATTAGGACCAGATAACCATTTTAAATATGAACATTTTCTATTTGATTATAAGTTCTCACAAATTCTACATTTTGCTGACTAGGATGAGAAATATGATCTATACACAGAAAGTAGCTATCAATCTTCTGCAGAGAAATATGTATAAGTTTGAGTAAGAAAGTTATTTAGAAATATCTCACTGTGTATGGTGACAGATTTTTTGTTGAAAGATGACTAAGTGAAATATTAATTTGTGTTTTATTTCCTTGCTCCAGACTTTCTGAAGGCTAAGTTCCTCTTTAGTGATATGTTTTAAGTTCAAGAACATTTTAATGGACAATAGTAATAATTTTCCTAAATAATAATGTTGAAAAAGAGAGAGAGCAAGAGAGTGTTTATTCCCTAAATTAGCTGTTTTTATTTGTTGCGAGAAGTGGTAACACAGCTTCTAAGAATGGGAGAGAGAGATGCTGAAAAGGGATGTGATAGAATTTTAACTCTGGTGTTTATGGTAGACCACAGTGGGAGATGGCTGACAGATAGGGTGCCTGCTTAGCTGTCTCATTGGGAATAGTTTGGGGAATAGGAAGAGGGAGAGAGACTTAAGAATATAAAATTAAAATAGTAGAAATCTGAGGGGAAAAGGAAATAGGTCTTCCCATGCTCAGACCTGGGAAGTAGTCAGTAATTTGATGCCTTCTCCTCTTCACATGCTCCTACTATGGCGTCCAGTGCTCTGAGTTTCACGTTAGCCTCATGACCTTAAATCTTAGCCCTGTCATGCACTCTGCTCTCTCCAGGTGACACTTGCCTGTTCCTCACACCTTCTGGAGAAGACAGCTCGACCTTAGCCCCCCAAAATACGCTTGCTTTAGAGCTTCAGGCCAGATGGGAGGGAATTGGGGTGTCCCAGAGGCCGGTTTGATAGCAGGGAATAGGGATGGGGAGTGGTTTCATGCCTGGTCATAATGAAGTTTGTAAGAGTTTGAATGTGCAAGACAAGGAAGAGGGAGGATTTGAGGTAAATGTACCTCGCTGAACCTGGGTGACTAAGAGGATGGGGGTACCATTAACAAAATGTGGGGACAAATTAGAGTAATTAAGTCAATGTGTTATTGCCTTCTCAAGAAGTCTTGATGAGCATATATAGTAGGGAGACACCGCCCTGATGTTTATTTTAGTCTAATTTCACCTGGATACAAATGATAGAGACTTGTGAATGGTTCCATCTAGATTGCGCTAAAGCAGTTGATGCAGGTCTCCTCATCACTAACATCTGTCTCTTTACACCAAATTGTTTAAGATTAAGTGCTTCAATAAGGTTACTTCCTTTCAAGTCTTCGGGGTTGCCTTTGTCACTTAAGACTTATTTGCAAATGAATGAAAACCTAACCCAACCTTGTTTAACCTTTAAAAGGAGGAAATCAATTTATGTAACTAGTCTGAGGAGAATATTCCTAGTTTCTCTCTCTTTCCTTCTCAGCTCTACTTTATTTTCAGTATTTGCTTCATTTTGTGGAAGCTTCTTTCCTTAAGAGTTTTGACATAATTGCCAGCAGCTCCCAGGGCTACATACTTTCAAGTTTAACCTATAAAAAAAGTAGGAGTCTCCTTCCCAGAAATCTCAGGGGAAAAAAGACATACCTGAACCAATCACTTCCTATATTTGTCCTGTGCTAAATATATACAATGAGTATCTCTGTTCTCTCTTCATTCTATGCTTCTCTTTATACTGTTTCTTCAATCAGAAATGCTTTTCTCTCTAGCCTACAAAAAACATTGTAACACATGTCATACATTTTTTTTCCTTTAAATTTCCATACTCTTAATTCAAATCTGCCTTATAGCACTTAGCACATTCTTCCTTACAATAGAGTTGGGTACATGTGCTGCTTTTCTATAAGATTTAAGCTCCTTGAGGGAGAAGTCTGTGGTTGACCAGTCATTGTATCACCCAAAACACTTGGCATTGGTTTGCATGTTGTAGTGCCTAGTAAACCTCTTGAATGAATGAATGAATGACTACATCAAACTCAGTTATATTTCCGTAATATATTTGTTGACTAAATGCATCTCTAGGGGCGATACATAGGCTGGAGAAAACTTCACTAGGGGCCGTATTTCCTCCTACTACCTCATTGGTATCCAGGTGGCAGACATCATGGTAGGGAGGGAGGGAGGAAGGAAGAAAGAGAGAGTGAAAGAGAGGGAGAGAAGAGAGATATCAAAACCATAGCCTACAACCAGAAGGGAGATAAAGGCAAAGATCCATTGCCATTATAGCAATTATCAGAACCACATGAGTTTGGAATGAAATTGAATCTTACACTTTTTTTGGTGGACTAGTGGGACAACTTTGCCTCCCTTCTGATTCTCTCTCCTGGGGTACATTCCGAATCAGGGTCTAGCTTGGGGTCTAGAGCAACCCCACTGATTAGTTCTGCCCTAAGAATAGCTCTGTCAAGTTTAACCAGAAAGCTCCCTTATCTGGTTACCATGTGACCTGGCAAACATTTCTGTTTATTTGACACTTGTAAACTTGGATACCAGTTGAGTCCTGTTCCAATCTGCCCACAATCTACAGACTCTTTCATCTTTTTGTTTATTTACAGAGCTTCCATCCGGCAACGCTCCAAGTCTCAGCTTTCTTACCTGGTACATGAATCTCCATTAGCTGTTGTAAATCATAAATCTACTTATGAAGAAGACAGAAAGGTCAGATACCAATCTCTCATGGGGAAATGGAAGAAGTCTCTCCTGGGGACTACTGTATGCCCTTTAAAGATAGAATATGAGTTTTCAAGGCCTATATCGAGTAGTATTTCACTAAGTCAGACTAAATGGGAGAACACATTAGGGTCTGATGGAAACTCTAAATTTTACACAATATTTTTGAAGAAACAAACATTAATTAATTACTTTTAAGAATACATGGTAACTAAAACTAGAGTATTAAAGGTTATTTAATAGTTCTTAGACATACTATTCTAATAAACATAGGCAAATTACATGTACTTAGCAGATTATTTGATTATGTACATGTTATTTTAAAGTTTTTACGAATATCTGAAAACATTTTTTCTAAAAATCTTTAAAACTCTTTTTTAAATTGTAATAACCTTGCCAAAAGTGTTTGATCACCAAAAGTGTTTGATAAAGCTAGCCTTATACAAATTATCACATTTTTTTAATTGACATATAATTGACATAAAATATCCTATCGGTTTTAGATGTACATAATAGCGATTTGACATTTACATATCTTACAAAAGGATCCCTATTTTAAGTCTAGTTACCATCTGTAGTAACTAATCAACTCTATTAATTTTAACATAATTTAAAACAACACAAAAATGAAAGAGAGGAATCAACACATAGCAATACAAAACTTTCTTCATCAGGATGCATGTATCCAAAGCTGTTGTGGTCACATAAGATGACCATCCTCCTCTTCAAAGCCTTTTTTAAACATTGCACTTTATGCTTCAGCCTTGACACTCTCACTTTTGATCCCTCATTACTCTTCACTTGAATGTTTTCATGGCAATTTTCTTACTGAGCTTTATTTGTGGTCATGTTGTCTTATCCCCTTACTAAATTACAAGCTTTTTAAAGTTAGTGATTATATATCATTTGTGTTTATATCAAGTCGGGCACCTAGCTCAATGCCTTGTACCTAGTAGGACATAGAAGATTTTAAAACTAGTATAAAAAATTGAAGTTATACAATAAAATAAAACATAAACCATAATATTTATCAAAGCAAGTCAAAGAATATTTTAATTACAAGCACATTCATTATGTATGATATAATGTAATTTCAAATTATCTTAAAATTTTCAACACAACAATCCATTTTGGAAGTAATTATAAACATTGGTTCATAATGACCATTTGGAATAAAGTTCATTACTACTTATGATCTTATGACGAAGATAGAAGAATTATTAAGGCTCTCTGTTGGTTTCAATGTATTAATAATGACTAAATCGAGGTCCCACTACTTAATAGAGTCATTTTAAATAAATTTCATAGAACACTTTTTCTCAGGTGCAGCAGAGTGAATCACAGAAAACATTTAACAAGCATAATTGCTTAGTGCATTTTGCCAATAAGGACTCAAGTCCTCTTTTTGTTCTAGAAATAGGTATTTCATTTATGTTTATGGTGCTGCCACTAATAAATACAAGAAACATGCCAAGCATTTAATAGAACTTCAAGAGAAAAAAAGCCATACATTACACCGAAATTTCAAACAAAGCAGTGCCAATCATATTCAATTTTTGCATTTTTATGTGTCTGTTTTCCTAGTTGCTGAGTAAACATTTGACAATAAAAGCAAGAGAGTTAGAAAGGAAGGAAAAAATACCTGATTTTATTGTTGTTATTGTTCAGGGTGGTAGATGGCCCAGCATAGTCGCAGAGCACAATCAGATTCCCTGGAGACCTGGGGTTCAGATATCTAAGGAGTTCTTATGATGCAGGAAAAACTCAGAAGAGAGTCATCTAAATAAAAGGAAACTAAATTAAATATAGAGATTAGTTTTAGAGAAATAAAAATGCTCCATATAATATTCTACTCATTAGCATTGTAAATTAGAATGGAACAATTAAACTCAAATGTTAACCAGTGTAATTAAAAAAGATGCCAATTTATTCTCTAGTTAAGGGAAAGGAAGGAGGAAGAAAATAACAGGGAAGCCAATGTGATTTTGCCAAAGCTCCAAAACCAAAAGATCTTATGCTTCTGTTAACACTGCTTGCTCGTATGATAATTATATTAGTCTTTTAGATTTAAAGAATTCAGTATTTTAAAAAGGAAACAGTAGAATTGTGGTTAATAAATTTTAACTTATAGAATTTCTAATCCCAGTAAATTTTAAAGTATTTAATAGTTAACTAAATTCTGCAAGCCCAAGCACTGGTGAAATTCTTCCCTTTTCTCATCTTGATATAGAAGCTCTAGCCTTACCTTCTGTTAATTGGGAAATGTTCTATCTTATGTCACAATGTAAAAGGTTTACTTACATAAAGGAGTTATCTCCACCTTGTGGTCTCTTAGAGTTTTGACTCTGAAAACTTAGAAGAGATGGGTCCTAAGAAGTCTGTGCTTCCAAACTCTAAGTAGCATGTCTGACTCAAGGTCTCACAGTTAGCTGGTGACAGACCTAAGACAACAGCTCATTTCTCCTTACTCTCTAAGCTGTACTTTTGGCTCCTATTAATGGGGTCCGATCTTAGTGGTAATGCTGATAAAATTCAGTCTAGGATAAGGGGAAACCTAGAAGCACGCTAGAAGTTTCAGTCTCTGCTATCTAGGCATCTCTTTTAGGGATACTGACTAAAAAACAAGATGGCATATATATGAAATAAAACTAAGGTCTGTTCTTTTGGCTGGTCAAAGAAAAAGGACTCTTACCACTTTAGCGTCCACCAGACCCCACAACAGAGGTCAAGGAGGCTGACGTGGTAAGAATGCGTACCTTCTGCCGGCTCTTGTCAGAGGTCCCAGGATCTCTCAGCTGCAGCAGTCCCTGGAGCAGGCAGTTTCCAGTTGGTGAAGATCCCGCCAACTGCACCAACTGCTGGAGAAGAAGAATTCCCCTCTACCCCTCTTGTTTCTTTGGGCTGGTCTAAGAATTAAATTGACAAGAGACAGATTAGCAGGAGCAAAATCAGGTTTAATTTCAAACATATGGAGGCTCCATAAGAATATGAGGCCCAAAGACAATCAGACAATTGAGCCTTAGGTGTTATTCAGAGCTGAGGGGAAGGGAGTAGAGATCTGGGACTTCAAAGAACAGAAAAGCAATTCACAGGAAGATGGGAAAAGTAAATGTTTGCTATGCAATGCAGAGACAAAGGGACACGGAGAACTTTAATAAGCAGGCCTTACTAAATTCCCCCCAGTCTACCACACCTAGCTCATAATCTTTGTAGTTATCTCTGCTGACATCTCCCATTCTGGAACAGGCCATCTATCCAAATTCTTTTAGGCAGTTAAGGGGGAAGATAAGAAGCCACTCCTGAGTCTTTTGTTTCTTAAAAATAATCAGCGAAAAATAATCCTCACACCAAAGAAATATATTTTGGGGTGGTAAAATCCTGCTCCCCTAAAGAGTTAAATATTAGAAACCTATCACTTCACCATTAGCTATCTTATAAGCTAACTTATAAGATAGTGTTTAGGCATTTGGTTAAAAGAGAGGACAGAGACAGGAGCCATAAAAATGACTGTCGGTATTTATTCATTTGAAGAATCTCTGCTCTGTTGTCATAGTTACATTTCGTATCATCAAATCTTAAAGTCATTTTCAAGGCAGGAGATTCCAATGGATTGTAACAAAATGTAGAAAGCGGGACACAAAATTTAAGTAAGTTTTATTTTCACCTAACGTATATAAGAAAACGGAAGGGGTAACTAGGAAAAGCTCAGTGTCTAGCATTGAACCATCTAGTAGGTATATAATCAGTATTTTTTAAAGTAAATGTTTTGTTGCATGTATGCACCATCAACATAAAAGCTTCATTCATTCTTTATCTAATAAACATTGATTGAACACCTATTATGTGCTGGGTATTGTGTTAGGGAAGCAAAGATGAATGAGAGTAACTGTCCTTCATGCACTGAAGTTGCTGGCAGGATATTTCTTTACCTATGATAAATGGTTGAGCATTGTGTAACTTGACATTGCTACAATAGAGGCAGGAACTCTGTAGTGAGGAAACACATACATAATTTCATCTCTGAGTTACTGGTTTGCTGTGAATTTATCAATCTTTATTCATCTTGATTCATCTTTTAGCTTTTTTTAGATGAATAAATTTATCTTTAGCTTTGCAAAATTAGAGAGAAAAATGTTCTGTATATAATGACTTTAATTATATTTTGTTTTATTTTTTCTTCTAGTATTCTGTTTGCTATATTAAATGAAAGTCAATCAAAAGTCAATTACTTGGGGACAGATTTCCTGGTTTTTGCATCATTCAATCTTAATAGCCACATCTTTTTGTGGTTAAGGAACAGTTTCCTTTAAAGTCAAATTTTTAGTAAAAGCAGACAAAAGAAAATTATTCAAATTAATTAATTTTTGCTTTTTGTTAGTTAATATTGGCATGAGAGCTACTAGACAAAAGTTAACATAGCATTGCTTTTAAATGTCTTAAGTATAGTTTTTTAGGGTTGGGGATACCTTCAGGTATCAGAAAGCCAGGGAAATCTGTCATGCAAGGCCATGGGTAGACCATCTTGTGGGGTAGTGGTTCCAGGAAACGTTGGAGTTCAATATTCCAAGATGGTATAGTAGAGCTGATACTTTCAAAGTGTATAATCATGGAATCCTAGACATTTAGCGCTGGAAGGAGTCTTGGAGATCTAAACAGTACTGATGATGATCTCACAAAATAGGTTTTGTCTCCAGACTTACCTCAGGAAAATTTTTTTAAAACACAAATGCACACTTATGCTCACTAAATTAGAATTTCTGGCCATTAGACCCAGGAATCTGTACTGTTAATCATAGACCTACATGAATCTAGTATGCATCCAGATCTGGACACCAGTACTGTCTAGAAATGTAAAGGATCTGATAATTTTACTCTACTGCAAGTTATCAAGTTAACCTATGTCAGGAATGCTGGCAGAATACATGACGACCCTGAGTCAGAGACAAAAGACTTTATTATTCACAGCAATAGCAGTAGCCACAGTACAGCATTTACACTGGTTCCTCAACAGAACCCCCGCTTGTTATAAGTTGATGCAAAGAGGGCCAGATGATACTAGTAAAGGAAGTGGGGGCAGGTTGTTACAGGAGAGGAATCCCAGGCTTGAGTAGCCTGACTCTTTTATAATGAGCAGTAAGCACATCTGCCTTTTTCTTGGGATGGAGATACCATCTGTGTTCTCCAAGGCTATTTTCTATACAAACATCCTTGAAAAAATAGTCTGAACAAAGGTACTCAATGCATCTGTTCACAAGATGTACAGAAACATGAGAGACTCATAGAAAATTGCCTACCCAAAACAATTTAGTTCAACTCTCTCATTTTGAGGATCCTGTAACTAAGCCCCAAAGAGCTAAAGAGCTAAAATATTCCATTGGTGGCTGTGTGGAGCTCATCCAAGAACCCCATTCTTTCTATGCCTGTTCCATTTACACTTTCTTAGGTTTCTTTCTTTTTCTCTGGCATTGATTCCTTGGGTTAGTAAGCAGTCAGAGATAACATCATTGAACAGAAGTATTTGCTACAGGAGTAAGTAGTCATGACAAGTACAAGTGCTGAGGGCAGGCCAAGAGAGAACTTGAAATGGAGGCACTAATATCCATCTGCAGCTGAGTTGCTTTTCTGTATTCTATCTGGCTTGCAACTATGATGACACAAACATGACACCAGGCTTATATTTAAATGAAATTGGTAATGTGGTCTTTGACTTTGTAAGCAAAATATTTAAAGTTCTTGCTGTTGTATGTTTCTGACATTCAGCTGCCTGAAGGGCAAATTAGAGAATGCTAATTAGTAGTTTTGTACAATAGATATTGTAGCATATTTAATAGAAAAAGTAAAAAAAAAATAAATCAATACAGATCTACATAAGCCACCTAAAATCCTTTCTCAAACAAAGTGGGTAATAAATTTAACAAAGTTTTGAATAAATGGGCTTAAGACTAAGCACTGAGTAATATCTATAGTAAGGAAAAATAATAAGGTTCTGAATATACTTGCCTTCAAGAGGATAAAAATTTGCTAGTTCTGACACTTTAATGGCAAATAAAGAGATCAGAATAGGAAAATATTGAAATAATTATTACTCCTTGTGAAGAAAGTGTGGAATTTAGAAATCCAAATGGGTTGCAATTTACTTTTGGGCACTAATTAAGGAAAACCTTACAGAAAACATGTAAATGATAACTGTTGACACAACTTAACAAATTTAAAAAGTTATTTTGACTCATTTCAGATACACTGGCTTGCCTTAGAGCTTTACTCAGTTACTAGATTATAGAGCTTTGGCATTTAAATTAGGGGTTTCTTTTTCTCAAAGATTTAACGTATTGTTTATTCTCCGAGAGTTATAATGTATGTAACTGTAAAATGAAAACTATAAGCTCACTTTTAGGCTCCTCCAGGCTCCTCCCTTCTGGTGATAGCAAGGTCTCAAGAAATTCAAAATCATTCCTCACAAAATAACACATCACCACATCTCATAGATCTTTGAGGTCACTCATAACCAATCAAACGATGAGTCTTATGTCTGTGAAGGCCAAAGGGTATGCTGTACAAAAGAGAGTATATGCAAAAATGAGTGTATATTTGGATGATTAATGAAACCCTTTTTCCCCTCAAGGGAAAGGACATTCCTGTGGAAGAAGAAATTGAACCTGCTCCAGTTAGGAGGATTCTGAAATTCAATGCTCATGAATGGCCCTACATGCTGGTAGGGGCAGTGGGTGCTGCTGTCAATGGAGCAGTCACACCCCTCTATGCCTTTTTATTCAGCCAGATTCTTGGGGTAAGCAAACAGCTGGCCTAGCTTTATTCTCCTCGCCCTTCGTTCTTCTGTCAGTGGATATTGTCATTTACTTTAATGTATTTAGCTTTTTCCCCTCATCTCTAAAGGATTAAAAACACCTCAAGTCTCTATCACACACAAGGTAAGAAGACAAAGCCAGGCATTGTCATTTGGGCTGGCAGGATATTCATACGGTCTGTAAAAAACTTCACTAAGGCTGCAAATTTAGCGTTAGAAGAGGGCAATTTACCTATATGCAAACCAAATCAGAATGCAAAGCAGTTTTGTTGAATAATATAAAAGGATTTTAGGGCTATTTTGATTCTGCTGAGCAGCTGAGGTACAAAGTTTGATTTATAATAGCAGGTGTCACTGCATGTTGTATAATTCTCTGCTCTCCTGCTGATTGCATCATTGAAATGGGGCAGTGGAGAGGAAACAGAAAAAGAAGACAGAAGTAAAATAAGGCATGAGAAAAAATTTTATTTTCAATTTTTTTACTTCCTAAGAGTTTTGATAGTCACCATCTGACTTCATTGCTATAAGTAATAATAATAACTACAAACATAAATTAGATACTAAGTATTTTATATATAATAGTTCACTAAACTTATCTAATAACCATCTGCGGTAGGTATTCTTATTGTTCCCATTTTACAAAGGAGCAAACTAAAGCATAGAGAACTTAGGATAGCAAGTGATGGATCTGGGAGTCAAATCCAGATAGTGTGACTACAGAGTCAGGTTCTAATTAAACCTTATCATTGCAAAATTATTTATCAAAATGCTATGAAATTTTCTTAGTTGAAATTTATACACATGTACCATGTGAGGTCAACAGGGTGGCAAACCTAGAATGTAGAGAACTTTATTAATTTGTTCAAGGTAACATATGCATTAGGTGGTGGGGCCAGGTCTAGAACTCAGTCTTTCTGAAGACTAGCCTCAAGGATTTGTCAGCACAGAAAAATGACCCCACCGGCATAAGTTGTACAGAAAGACTGGTAGAGTCCACGGACACAGTCCAAGTCAATTGTGTAGGGAGGGCCGCAGCTGTGGCTTCCATTTTCGCACTGCCCCCTTGTGGTAACTGAGGAAATCATGTTCATTTCAGAGAGAAAGGGTATTAGAAACACAAGGACTCTGGTAAATTTAATTTCTGGTGATGGAAAAATCTTTATGCTGAAAAATCTTTTAAATAATTAATTTATATTCTTTAATGTCTAGTAAGTATAATATTCTAAAATAATAGGAATGTTTGTTTGTTCACTCAAGGGATATTTGTTGATTATCACTCCTAGGCACAGTGTTAGGAAATTGGGAATGCAGTTATCAGTCTTGGTGTCTTCCTTAATGGAGTTTCAAGTCTCTGAGGAAGACAGACATTAAACAAAAAATTCACTCATCATTCAACAAATACTTATTGTTCACCAAGTATTGTTGCTGATGTTGGCAACAGAGTGGTGAATACAAAAATCAAAGCCCCTCCTTGCTGTCATGAATCTGACATTCTAGTAGGGAGAGGCTCTGGGAATGCACTGTACTGAGTAGATGTAGATGTAGAAGGTATAGGGGATAGGGCTGGATCCGTAAAGACCCAAGACTATGCTCTAGATGTTTGCTTTTAAAATAAATCCAGGAGGTCATAGTCTTTGCCCATCATCTTTTTCTATCTTATAAAAGCAGAGTAAGAAATATACTCAGCCAGCTTTGTCCTGTCTATGAGCTGCTGTGGAAAGAGTCCTGGATTCCCTGTCAGGAGATGTGGGTTTTTTATTTGCTTGTTTTTGTTTTTTTAAACTGGCTCTGCTAGTAATGTATCAAGTACTGTATGCCATGGGGTTACATCACACCACTTCTCTGGGCCTTAAGTATAAAAGGAAGGATTGACAAAGATAACTTCTAAGATACCTTCCAGCTCTAGTAGTCTTTGAAATGGCCAAGTCAGAAAAAACTTGATATTTATCTATGACCCCTATCCTCCTAGAGCACCCACTGGTTATTGGTAGTGAGAATATTTTCTGTAATTCTCCTGGTCACAACCAGGAATCCTAGGGAAAACTTAACCCAAGCAATTTAGCTTTTCACTTAAAGGCTACAAAACCAAAGAAGCAGGATCTAGTTGGTGAAATCCAAAGTCTGCTCATGGTTAATATTCTCACAGGGTTATATTTGCTAAAAGAATGATGCCAAATACATTATGATTTTTCTCTCTGATAAAGAACATTGTTTCTGTTTGTCTTTCAGCAAATTGTTGCATATTCATCAGTAGGTTAATGATGCTTTCATCTCATAGGGTATAATCATGAGTCAGATAATAGTCTGTTTTTAATTGCACTGTTTTCATTCTGACATACCTAAAAGGCACAATTTTCACATTTAGTGTACTGAGACCACGGTTTGGAACATGGACTTAGCAAATGGTTGGACACTATTAGTAGCCTGGTTGCTAATCTAGTGAAGCCTCAATATACATGTAAAGCATAATTTATCTGATTCAAATTCCTAGGTCTATTTGAATTGAAACATGTGCCAACTGTTCTAAGCACAGCAATTTGGATGTAGCATGCTAGGAAAAAGCATGAATTGTGGAGCCGGCCAGCCCTGAATTTGTAGTAGATTTCTGTTCTGTATTCTCTGTGTGCGTTTGGGCAAGTGGCTTCCCCTTGATGAGGCTTACTTTCCTCATCTGTAATGTGGGGCAAGAAAATCTACCTCACCGGGTTGTTTTAAGAATCCTAATTTAAGGAAATCCTCACTTAAGTTAAATTAGGTTAATTAACATTTTTGGCATTTGGCAAATAGTAAGAGTTTAATGAATGTTTGTTTTCTCCTTAAAGTTACAATTATCAAAATGACACCGATGTATGCTCAAACTACAGCTAGTTTAAGAACAGAGGAACCTATTGATGGGTAGCGCTTTGGGTTGAATTTTAACAAGAAAGTACAAAGACCTTATAGAACAGAATTTTTTCAAAAAAAGATAATGGAAAGGTAGATGTTCAATCTTGAACTGGACAGCTGTGTGGATTTAACAATGGCCACATATTTCGTCTACAAAATAAAAGCTGAACCAGCTAATCTGCAGTTCTCTAGTTCATGATTGTAATAAGCGGTTGACCTTAGGGAGAATGGAAATTGTGGCTTCACAGTTTGGGGTTACAGGGGATTTTATAGTGCTTTTTAAAACCAAATTGAAATACATCTTTAAGTATTAAATGTATTTAAGTACAGATTTTTAAACTGTGTAAATTAAAAATGTGAGTTATTATATGCTGGGAAGAATGATGACTTCTGAACCCATTTTTACCTGTATTCAGAACCATGAAGGCTCGAGAAACTCTATCCTCGAAACAGTAAATCTTATTAATATAGAACCCTTCTTTCTACTTTGGAATTTGTGATAATTTGAATATTACTTTTGCTTTGCAAAAAAGAATTCATAAATAGAGTAGTTTATGTTGTTTTCAAGGGACTTATTTGGCATATAGCAGGCACTCAAATATTTATTGAATAGTTTCCTTTGAGCAACTGCTTGTTGGCATTGGTCTAATTAACTCAGAACAATAAATAAGGATTTACTGTATAGCTCTATAATGTATATTTTTTTTCTGAACTCTCACCATTCCCTCATTTAGTCTAAATTAGGAAGGTTTTGTTGTACATAAAATCCATATTACTGTAGGATAATATCATTAGAATATGCAGTTCTTTCCATTTTCGTATTGCAACAGTTCGATCTCCAATCGCTTACTTGGGCATATGTCTGTAAGTTCAGAACATACTTATGAGTATAATTTACTACTTATTATAGGCTAAAAAAACCCATTCACAATTTCCATAGTTTTTTGAGGAGAATGTTTTCAGCTTCTGATGATTGAGAGGCAACAACTTCAGCCTCAGATGGATGGAAACTATTTTCTCTTCTAAGCCAATTATAGTCAATGCTTCGTAGTTAGTTGCTTTTTTATGTTAATATATATTAACATATATATAAAACTGATAACAGGAAAGGTGTACTGAGTGGGAAAATTATGTTTATACCATCTATTATTGGAGAAAGACATAATACTTTGACTTTTGTCCCAGAAAACATTCTCAGATTCTCAAGTTCCTTCCTCCCTCCTCTCTTCCTTCCTTCCTTCCTTCCTTCCTTCCTTCCTTCCTTCCTTCCTTCCTTCTTTCCCAGTATAAGGACCTACCTTCCTTCTTTCCTCCCTTCCTTCCTTCCTTCCTTCCTTCCTTCCTTCCTTCCTTCCGTCCTTCCTTCCGTCCTTCCTTCCGTCCTTCCTTCCATCCTTTCTTCCTTTTTTTTCCCCTTTGCCTTATTACATAAAGAATTTGAGGCATTCATCATATATTTCATCTGTATCAAAGGAAAGCCAACACAATTGCCTACAAAAGGCAAAGAAACAAGACAAAAATTCTGCATAAATGTCTAATCACTGTGTTGTGCACCTGAAACTAATAATTATAATATTGTATGTCAACTGTAATTGAAAAAGTTTTAAAAATTTAAAAAATTTTTAAATTTTAAAAATTCTGTAAATCATAACCATTGGTTTTCATTCTCCAGGCTTCTTTCTCCATGAGGAATTAAAATACACATGTTCAGAGTATGTTTAAAGTGAAACTGTTATTAACCCAATGCTTAAGACAAATTTCTTTTAGACATAGTCAATTTTTTTTTTGCTGTTGTTATAATAAAGTTCCTTTCTTGCTTACTGTCTTGCAAAGACTTTTTCACTTCTTGATAAAGAAGAACAAAGGTCACAGATCCATGATGTGTGCCTTCTCTTTGTAGCAATGGGCTGTGTATCTCTTTGCACTCAATTTCTGCAGGTAAGGAATTTTGTTTTTAAATAAGTGATTTAGCTATTTCTCTCCTTTTCATATTAAATTATTACTAAAGACTCCTTTACATTTTAGGGATATGCTTTTGCTAAATCTGGGGAACTCCTCACAAAAAGGCTACGTAAATTTGGTTTCAGAGCAATATTAGGGCAAAACATTGGCTGGTTTGATGATCTCAGAAATAGCCCTGGAGCACTGACAACAAGGCTTGCTACAGATGCTTCCCAAGTTCAAGGGGTAAGCTATGGGTAGGGTGGAGGGTGTGTTCTAGGGTTGGTGTAACTGGGATAGACTTTCTTTTGTGCCTTCAGATAATCACCAGTATATTTTCTATGGAATAGAATCCCATGGGATTGGGATATCCAAGAAGCACATTGCCTCCCCTTTCCAATGCTGACGAACATCACCTAAAATGAACAGTGTCTCAGAGGCAGTGACCAGAATCATTGTTATGGCATAAATCAAAATATATTGGGAATGTGGATTTCTTCTGAGTCGAGCGATTAAGAACTCTCCCGAGATTCCTCTCTCATCATTTTTAGGCTCAGAGGCTCAGATTTCACAAGACTTAATAGCACTCCCTAGAAGGTGGAAGCAAAGAGTGTGTGGAAACAGCTTTCCTTACCTCCGTGTCCAGGGTCTAGTTAGTCTTAGGTAAAGAGAAGCTGTTCTGAGCAGCTCAGTCAGGAAATTGAGGGAAAGAAGTAAATGATTGCTACCTAGAATCTTGAACTTCAAAGAGCTGTCTTGCTGACTAAGGGAGACTAAGCCGTGGTTTTTAAACCCCAGAACCTGCAGCCTTGTTCAGGGGACTTACATGTATAATTACACCTTTATAAAACCAGGCATTTAGATTAAAGTGACCAGAGTCAAGTTTGCGTCTCAGCACCTGTATTCACTTTCTATGAGAATGTAAAAAGAAAAGAAAAGAAAAATAATGATTTTTTGTGATGTTCTTGGAAGAAAGACTCTTTGGGTTGATGTGCTGTATTTCTTGACCACTACAAGTTCAACCAAAAATATGGACAATGCTACAGGAGAATTTCAAAGGAACATGGAATTCTCTGACTCAAAGGAAAATCCTTATTGGTTCTTCTAGGCTTTTTCTATGTACACATGTGTTTCCTACAGACTTTGGGTCACATTAGAATTACTTTGTAATCTTTCATTTTTTCCCTAAAACGATCTGATATGAGCTAATTTTTGGTCATTATTCTTCTACAATAGATTATTAATGACTGCAAAATTCATCATTTTAATGTATGATCATTTCTTAAAGAATTCCCTATTTAAAATTTCCCCTGCTTTTCTCCCTTGTAAGCAATCTGTATCATTTTATGTCAAGAGTGGCACATCCTTTATTATTATTTTTTTAGTTCTCAAATGTAATTATTGGATTATACTCAGAGTAAAATAATTTTTAAAACTTTTACTATGCCTTGTCTTACTGCTTAAAGAAAGTCGATACCAATTTCACTCTTATCACCTGAGCATTCTAGTGTCTAGTTCACCTTATTGTTGAATTTAGGTTAAATAAATAAACCATAATCTTACCTCTTCTATTCTTGTGTCCCTCAGTCTGCAAGAGACTTTTAAAGATTATTTGCTTTCACTAGAATTCAGATATTAACAGCTAATCATCTTATAAAAATTTTACTTATCCTTTAAAAAACAGTTTTAAGAGTTTTTCGAATGAACTATTTAAAAATGAAATTACTAATTCAGGTCAAATTTATTTTAGTATCAGTGTGGTATAGAAATTTGATTTTTTTTCCCTTTCAAGTTGGGTAGAAAATATTCCAAAAATATTTAATGTAGATTCCATTTTCCATTGATTTGAATCCTTTTGCCCATTGTGAATATTGACTTCCCAAGTACACTTAGAACTATGACGTGGGTATTCTTTATTCTCTTTCATTGATCAATTTCATTTATTCTATACCAGAACTTTATAGTTTTAATTATTATAATTTTATGATACATTTTTGTTATCTGGTAAGGTAGATCTCTGCATAGTAATTTTTCCCTTCAAAAATTTTCCCTTATCTATTCCTGGACATTAATTATTCTAAGTGTACTTTAAAATTATCTTGACTTCTTCAAAAATTTTTTTTTGATTCTCTCAAGGAAAATAGAAAACCGTAAAGTATACTTGTTGGGCTACATAAAAATTTATAACTTTTGTATAAACAAATGACAAACTAGATAAATATTTATATCACAGATTAATATACCTAATACTCTAATATGTACAGTACTCCTAAATTTGATAAGAGAACAAAAATCAAGTAATAAAAAAGTTTAAAAAATCAGTATATGGACAGGCACTCCTCCCCGCACCAAAAAAAGAAATGTAAGAGGACAAATAACCAATGAAGAATCATTCAACTTCATTAATAGAGCAATTCTAATAAATTAATGAGATGCCATTTTCCACCTATCAACTCAATAAAAACTATCATGTATAATAATGTCCTGTATTTTTGAAAATGAGGAGAAACTGCCACTTACACAGTATGAATTCTTTCAACATTTTTTAGAGAGTATTCAGGTAGGTAAAACCCCCTGAGCAAAATTCACATATTAGTAAATCCTTTCCTATAGTGTGACAATGTGCATTCAAGGATATTTTTTATATTGTTCAAAAAATTAATAAAATTTCCTGGAAACATCTTGAATATTCACCAATAGGAAAATGGTTGAACAAATTATGATACATTTGTACTAAAGAATATTAGGCAGCTATTTTTCAAAGTATTACATATTATGATCTGGAGGGATGGTTATGCTATACTAAGTGAAAAATATAGAAGTACAATGTAACATGCAGAGTATGATCCCTTTTTTTGTAAAAATAAATAAATGTTTATATATATTATTGTGCATGTATTCTATTATGTGTCTTAGGTATCATTACTTTTAAAATATTTTTAAGTATAAATTGAACAAAATGTAAAAGGAAACAAAATAATAATCCCAAAATAAAACCTGAACTGTTTTTCAAAACTCTATAATGGCTGATACTCTTTGCCAACCAGAAATTCTTGTAAAAGAAATTGTGGTACGATCTACATAACATAAAATTTATTGGTTTAATAACTTCAAGTGTACAATTCTGTGGCATTAAGTACATTCATGTTGATATGCAACCATCCCCACTATATTCAGAACTTTTTCATCATTCCAAATAGAAACTCTGTACCCATTAAATAACAACTTCCCATTGCCCCCTCTCTCCACCCTTGAATAACCACCAATCTACTCTGTCTCTATGAATTTGACTATTCTAGAAAATTCATATAAGTAAAATCATACAAAATTTGTCCTTTTGTGATTGGCCTGTTTCACTTAGCTTAACGTCCTCAAGATACATCTACATTGTAGAATGTGTCAGAATTTCATTTTATTTTTAAGGTTGAATAATATACTATTGTGTGTATACACCAATTTTTGTTTATCCATTCATCCATAGATGGGCATTTCACTATTGTGGATAATGCTGCTATGAACATAGGTGTTGAAATAAGAAATTCTTAATTTAGATTTTCCTCCTGTCTTTAAGGGAGTAAGTACCAACACATAGGAATTCTTTGGACCACAGAGGATCTATTCCATTTGAGTCTTCAATATAGTATGAAGATGCAGATTATTCTTAGCATTTATGGTTACTTAATATCTTATCTTTGGTTATTTTATGTTCTTTGTCTTAAATAATGCTGAAGTCTCTTTAATTTTGACAGATAGTCATGTTGTTGTACCCACCCAAGTGTTTTCTACACAGAAGGCACCAACCTTTGGCCACATTTGCATAGCTGCAATTGAAATGAAGGCTTGGAACCATCAAATGCTTTTGATTAGCATAGATAATAATTACCACAGTGGTCCAGTCTTCACCCATATTAGCATTAAGTCTATTTTGTCCATCTGTGTTGATTAAACAGCTATGTATTAAGGTAGCATGTAACTTTTTACCAGTGAGCAGGCTAACTTCAGTGAGAAAGCAGTATCTTATAATGGTCTTGTATGAACTTCAAAACTGTAATTATAGAGCGAACATCAATCTTCACTGAATAATAAGTAATATTACCATAAGGCCAATGCCTGGGTATTTTCAAGCAAGCCAAATGCATAGATACCTGACAACATGCCGCCCATGCTTAGGGCTGAATTAATCTCACACTGACTGCTCCAGCTGTGACACCCATGAAATGAGATTAGTCAACAGACGAGTTTCCAAGAAGCTGTGAATAAAATGGACTTTTATTGATCCAACCTTCAAATGCATTACAGGAGCTCATTATTTAAAAGAATCTACCTTTTTAAATATAGAACTACCATATGACCCAGTAATTCTATTCCCAAAAGAATTATATTCAAAAGAATTGAAAGCAGGAACGCAAACAGATATTTGTACACCAGTGTTCATAGCAGCATTATTCATTGCAGCCAAAAGGTGAAAATGCCCAAGTGTTTATCAACAGATGAATGGATAAATAAAATATGGCATATACATATTATACATGCAACCAAATATTATTCAGCTTTAAAAGGAATGATCCAGAAATTCTACTTCTTGGTATTTATCCAAAGAAAAAGAAAACACTAATTCGAAAAGATATATGCACCCTTATGTTCATTGCAGCATTATTTACAATAGCCAAGATATGGAAGCAGCCTAAGCATCCATTAACAAGTGAATGGATAAAGCAGATGTGATATATATGTAAATATTACTCAGCCATAAAAAGGAATGAAATCTTGCTATTTATGACAAAATGAAGGGTATTATGCTAAGTGAAATAAGTCAGACAGAGAAAGAAAAATACCATATGATTTCACTTATATGTGAAATCTAAAAAGCAAAACAAATGAACAAACAAACAAAACAGAGACAGATTCATAGATACAGAGAACAAACCGATGGTTGCCAGAGGTGAGCGGGGTAGGGGAATGGGTAAAATAGATGAAAGGAATTAAGAGGTGCAAACTTTCGGTTATAAAATAAATAAGTCACAGAGATGTAATGTACAGCATAGGGAATATAGTCAATGATACTGTAATTACTTTGTATGGTGACAGATGGTTACTAGACTTATGGTGATCATTTTGTAAATGATTTAAATGTTAAATCACTGTGTTGTACACCTGAAACTAATATAATATTGTATGTCAACTGTGCTTCAATTCAAATAAAAAGAGATAAAATTCTAATTATGCTACAGCACAAATGGACCTTGAAAACATTATGATTAGTAAAATAAGCTAGACACAGAAAGATATTCTATGATTCCACTTATATGAGGTATCTAGACTAGACAAATTATAAAGACAGAAAGTAGAACAAAGATTATCAGGATGGAGAGAGGGAAGAAGGGGGATTTTTTAAAAAGATTTTTATTAAAATATAGCTCACATACAGCATTGTATAGTTTCAGGTGTACACCATAGTTATTCAACATTTATATACCTAAAGAAATGATCACCATAATATGTTAGCAACCACCTGACACCATACAATGTTATTACAATATTATTGGCTATATTCCCTATGCTGTACACCACATCCATGGAGGATTATTTTTTAATAGGCACAGACTTTTTGTTGGGGATAATGAAAAGGTTTTGGGTATAGATGGTGTTGGTGATTACCCAACACTGGGAATGTATTTAATACCACTGAATTGTACACTTACAAATGGCTAAAAAAATAAATGTTATATATATTTTATCATAACAATTTTTAAAAACCTATTTTTTTTTTTAGGGTAAGATAGCCTTCAATATTCAGTTAAAAAAATGATACTTGGTAAAAAAAAAAGATTGTGAGCATGAGGTTGATTGATTGCTTTTGACTTGCAGGCTGCCGGCTCTCAAATTGGGATGATGGTCAATTCCTTCACTAACATCACAGTGGCCATGATCATTGCCTTCTTCTTTAGCTGGAAGCTAAGCCTGGTCGTAGTGTGTTTCCTCCCTTTCTTGGCTTTATCAGGAGCCATTCAGACCAGAATGTTGACAGGATTTGCCTCTCAAGACAAGCAGGCTCTGGAGACTGCAGGACAGGTAATCTTACAGATGCAATTTTCAGACTGCTAACAGCTGGGTGGCTGTCACACAAACTGTTAAGATTGAGTATGTAGTACAAAGAGACTTAAGAAAGCTGACAGCCTACAAACATTTATGATCAGCAACTTCCTACTAGCTCTTTTCATATGTGCCTCTGCCCAAAGGTTGTGACAATAAAGCTCTGATGGAGAGGTTGAGTGGGTATAAACAAATTTGGGGGCGTGCTGCCCACAAAGAGAGGAGTTAGCATCTTTTTAATGGGACACACTTTTAATTTTCACACTTCAGTGTCTACTACACTTGCAGCAAATGTCTTCCTGAAATAGAACCATGCGGTATAGTGTAGGTTTCAAATACACTCAGGTTTTAGCTCTGTGCTTTGCAAAGTATGTTCTAATTAATATCTGGTTATCAGGGGTAAATGAGGGGACAATGGCATGGACATTTATCAGGTATAAGAAATCACACACACACGTGTATACACCCTCACTTTTTAAACAAATTTACTATAATTTAGGTTTTGTCTTTTATAAGAGAGGGAATGAACACTGTGTAAGTAGGCAGAAACTAAAAGGATTTCACTTACCAATGGTTGAAAGTAGCCCACCTTTGTGTCTTTTTTTAGAATCAGATCCTAATTCAGAAAGAATAATTATTTATCCTAGAGTATGGATTGAAACAAATACAAATTCATAGTATAGACTAAAGTAAACTTTCACTTAATTTTAATTTATCTTAAATAACATTTGGTCAGATTAATTTTTAAGAAAATGGAAGCTAATATTCTAAATGTATATTATTAAACAATCTTTTGTCTCAGAAGACATCTAAAAATCCCATTTTAGACATTTTAAATGAATCAACAAAGAAGCTAAAAACTTTCAAGGATAATCACGTGTACCTTTCCCTTCCTCTCTCTTCCACAAGTGGAGGCAACAAAGCCATGTTAGTATTAAGTAGAACTTGAGTTCAACGGATGGAATGTCTTATGTCTAGTTGAGTTGGTCTCCAGCAACTTCTTTGTGTTCCCAGATGATGCCTTCATCTCTGATTTGTACTGCATTCTGCCATTTTCACCAGATGTAATCCATGTAGCAGCTTAAAAGTCAGGAAAGTAGTTATCTCTGCTCTTTTATTGCTCTTTTTCATTCTTCAGATTACTAATGAAGCCATCAGTAATATCCGCACTGTTGCTGGAATTGGAAAGGAGAGGCAGTTTATTGAAGCGTTTGAGAGGGAGCTGAAGAAACCATTCAAGACAGCCATTCGAAAAGCAAATATTTATGGATTCTGCTTTGGCTTTTCCCAGTGCATAGTGTTTGTTGCTAATTCTGCTTCCTACAGATATGGAGGTTACTTAATCCCCAATGAGGGGCTCCACTTCAGCTACGTGTTCAGGTGAGGACTGTTGGCCAAGCTCATAAAAGATCAGCACTGGTTCTATTACTTTGTTAGCTTTTGCCACTTTTGCTGCTGAATGAACCATCCCAAGCTTGGTGTCTTGAACAGCTGGGATTTATTATTTCTCAAGATTCTGTGGATTCTTGGGGGTGGTTCTTCTGGACTGAACCAACTTAGGCTTCTGAGTGCACTTCTGTCTCCACAGGGCCTCTCTTGTAGGTGAGCTTATTTTCTTCTAGGTATTACAAATGAGAGCAAGACCTAATGTGTAAGAACTTTTTAAATCTCTGCATGCATCACGTTTTCTAATATGTCTTTGGCCAAAGAAAACCGCACAACCAAGCTCAGATTTAAAGAATAGAGAAATGGAATCTACTTTTTGATGAAAGGATCTGATATGTGTTTCTCCTTTATTTTCACACTCACAACACTCCTGACACCTGATGGAAGTCTACATTCAACTTCCCTCTGAAATTATCTGCTTGGAGAGAGTGTCAGATCCCACAGGTTAAGTAAGGTCTTGGTCCTACAGGCAGCCCACCCCACCACTCTCAGATCCCTCAGGGCCCTACCCTTTCCTGGAGGTGAACTCCTTGATCACTCTAGATTTAGGAAGTTCCAAGGGTTTAGGAGCTCTGAGCCAGCAGCTGGGCAAAGACCAAATACATGTTTCTTTTTATAAATCACAATATCACAGAGTGGTAAAAAAGTCATATTACAAAGGAGTGTGTACAGAGTTAATAGGATGGATTAACCATTTATCAGTGGTTAACCAGTCTACCATATTGGTTAATGCTGAGAAAATCTAGAGGCCCATTTGAGGTGGATCACAGAACTATCTTATCTGAATTCTACTTTGTGCAAAGAGGGCATGTTTCCAGCTGACTCCTCCTAGGTAAAGACAGCAAAAGCCAGTTCAGGGGAATTATCTTTCTTTCTTATAGCCAGAATCTGCTGTTCCAGTAAGATTAACTTTGAGTCCAGTTTCTCACATTTCCAGAGGTGAGAGCCTATGTATGTCAGGGCACCAAGAGATTGGTGCTCATGTATGTGGGTGTGGTGTGGTGGGGTGGGAAACATTAGAGGGCTGTGGGGAGATGGACTGAGAAAGCCTTGGAGGGCATTAGGAAAAGTGGTGCCAACAGAATCTGTTATTCTGGGTTCATTCTCACTCGTCATGAATTCTGTCTTCCTGCCTTTGATCTTTCTTCTGGAAATATAGAAGAAATTTTTTCTCCTGCCCTGCTATACTCTTCCCAAGCAGGAAAGTTTATTTTCTAAATTTATGACATTTTTGAGCTACTAAACTCAGTAATCGCAAACTGTTGACTCGTTTAGTTTATGTAAGATTTTTGAAGAATTATTTGCCAACATGTAAAAATTCTGAGGCTACAGAAAACTCCCAATTTCGAGCTTCTCTTTAAAAACCGAGAGATCACCTTCCACCATCTCCCATTTTATTCCAGTTGCTTTTCATTGCTTTAAGCTTTGGATTGGGCTTCTGGAGATCTTTGGGTTTGCAAGTCTGGCCTAAAACAATTTCTGCTTATGAACTGAGGAGTAAAACACACAGACACTGCCCTGCTACCACCACTGAGGCAGGCCATCTATGCATGGCAGAGCAGACGGACAAGATTGCAGGGTGCATCTCGCATCATAGTCTGTACGGCAACAGAACTATCTCTCACCATGTTTATCTTTCATTTATCACTCATTCACTCATTAATTACTCGCATGTTGAAAACAGTTAGAGACTGGGCCAAGGAGAAGGACACAGGCGATTGTATCCTGTCTGAAGCATGAATTACATATATGCTTGGCACAGATAGATTGATGCTTATATCACCAATTATTCTCTTTTACACACTTATAATAGATTCAAAGAATGTTAGCATTGTAAAAAACATCAACCCAATCTGGTGATCTTTCAAGCCCTCCTCTTCTCTTTCTTTTTTCTTTTTTTCTTTGAAGAAGTTTTAAAGAAAAATTTTAAAAAGAGACTATAGTAGTTGAAGCAGGGTTTGGAATTCTGAGGCCCTCTCCATCCTTGTTCAATCCTCTTCTCACCCTTTCTTCATAGAACAAACGCAATTTGAAAACTGCTCATCTCTCCAACCCCACATTTCCAGGCAAGCCTGAAGTGATCTGCCTAGGCCACTCAGTTTCTTTCCAAGCAGAACCAGGGCTGGATGCCCAAACTCTTGCCTCATAGGCCGCCACACCAACCACACAACACCCCTCTCCACCTGGGTGTCTGTTTGATTGCAGGGTGATCTCTTCAGTTGTACTGAGTGCAACAGCTTTTGGAAGAGCCTACTCTTACACCCCGAATTATGCCAAAGCTAAAATATCAGCTGCACGCTTTTTTCAACTGTTGGACCGACAACCCCCAATCAATGTATACAGTAGTGCAGGTGAAAGATGGGTAAGTACTGGGATGGGGGTACGAGGGCAATGGGAGAGGGTTGTGCTTATGTGTGTGTGTGCATAATAGCCATTGGGGCTGGTCATACAACACCACTTAGCTTCTAAATTCCTGCAGTATACCGGTTCAGTCATATGTACTCAGAATGGACAGACAGTAGATTATAAATGTAAATAAATGAAATAAATTAGCATTAAAAAGTATTCAGAAAGCCAGCATTTGAAGAAGGCAATGATATGCAGTGAATGCTAAATTCTAAAACACACTTAGTTCCAGAATAACGAAGCTACCCAAACACCATGTGTTCTATTGATGTTCTGGTATGGAATGTTGAAAACCAGTTCTTCCTATCCAATAATATGATTTAATTCATGTTTATCCGAATTCAAGTTTCAGCTCCTATGGACTCCCAGAAAATTAATTTGGTCATAACAAAATAGCTTTTCTTCTAATTGATAGTCTCCACTGGTGTTTTTTAATCTTCCCTGCCTATTTTTTAATATCCAGTTTATTCAAGAGAGCAAAACAAACCAAACCTTAATAAAGCTAAACTAAATTCAGAAATCTTTTTAAATTGGTCTAATGACCTGTTTCTCCTTCAGCTCAATAAAACTACAGTCCCTGTGTGGTCTATTATCCATTTCTAGAATTCACAATTCAGATAGTACAACTGGAGGTATTTGTCTTTGCAATATGGGGTTTAAGTAACTGTTTTTAAGTCATTTCAAGTGTAACGCTATTATTTTAAATCTTTGAGGAAACGGATCTGAAGAGGTTTGGACAGTTACTGGCTTCTGTGATGTAACCATATCTTCTAACTATTGCCTTCCATTTGACCTTCCTCCATAATGTCAAGTAATGTATGACAAGGAATTCACCTTAGGTTAGAATGAGAATAAGACAGCTAATGTTTTTAATTTCACTGCTTAAGTCTTCCTTTATTTTACACCTGCTAGATAGGGATAGAATGCCATTTTATTAAGTTGCTGTCTTTAGACTTTGCTTTTTGGCAGCATTGGTGTTAAAGTTTAAGATTCAGAAGGTATATTTCGATATTCTAGATTCTAGTAGGAGTACATATATAATTCCAATCTTTCCATCCACAGGACAACTTCCGGGGGCAGATTGATTTTGTTGACTGTAAATTTACATATCCTTCTCGACCTGATATACAAGTTCTGAATGGTCTCTCAGTGTCTGTTAGTCCAGGACAAACACTGGCATTTGTTGGAAGCAGTGGATGTGGCAAAAGTACCAGTATTCAGCTACTGGAACGTTTCTATGATCCTGATCAAGGGAAGGTGGTAAGCAAATGCTTTTGAGAATTTTGCTTTCTGCAGAATATCTCCAACCCCTAAAAGCGATTTTCAAGATCATGCCTTGCCAGACTCACTCCAAAGCGCTTGCCTCGGACACTCACCCTATGGATAGTTTCCAGTACTAGTCATTTGCTGCTTGGCCTGATTCTACCTCACATTTTTAATATCATATTCTTCCCAGTTCCAGATGGCCTTCTGACTGTTAGGCAAAGAAAACTGGGCACAATGCAAAGCTAGAGATGAGTGTATTTAACAGAAGCATTCACTTACCCGTAAATGGAGCAGAAAGTGCAGGCTAATCAGGAGACTAATGACTGAGAACGGAAAAAGTGGGGGTGATAAGGAACACAGCGATAAACAAGCAAGAGGATTTAGTATGAAAAACCTGAGACAATCCTGGTTCAAGAAGCTTAAGTCTAAATAATATAAGCAACTCAAATTGGTAGTCATGCTCGAAAAAGCTTTGGCAAAAATATTTTAAAAATCGGTGGATTGCTTTGTTGCTTATTTTCCACAGCATTTCTTTCTCTTTTCTCTCCTTTTCTTTTTTTTTTCTTTCCAAATAATATATACAGAAGAGCACAAAATAAAATAAGAAATATTTGTAATAAAGAACAACTTTTTATTCTACTTTTGTCTCCCCCCACCCTTCATTTCTCTGTTCAAATATCCCATATCTTCCTTTTTTTTTTTACTTGGTTTTCACTCTCATTATTTGGAGTGCATTTTTTAACCACAGATTTTTTTTTTTTTATCTCCCAGTGATTACCTCTCTAAGTAATATGCTTATGTTGCTGTTTCATGATTTAACAAATTTAGACTCTGTTGACTTATTCCCAAGCAATGGAAATTTAGCATACCCTCACCAATCTCCCTCCTTACCCACCTCCTCCCAATATAGATATGTCACTTCAAAAAGTTCTATTTATAAATTTAACTAATTCACTTTTTTTTTTCCCACCACCTGTAGTTAACATCTCTTGAATTCTCCCTTTCTAAGATGAGAATATTAGCCATTCTACCTTTATTTCACTTCTTCCTTCCTCTTTCTACCTGTCAGGTCCTGATACCTATATTTGCATATGATTGAGAAGACAAAATGCTTACATTCTGTTTATAACATTTATTATCTTTCATGCTTCCACTCTATGCTGATTCTACAAGTTAAAAATAGATTGACAACTTTTATTATGATTAGGTAAATATTGTTCATCCCATAGTCAAGTATTGAGGCACATTATCATTATATTTTCTTTCTTGATTGTTTTTCTGAAAGGCTTTATTTTCTTGCATTCTTTTCCTTTATAAAATCTTTATATTATTCCAATGTTTCTATCCTGCTACCTATTAATGAGGGACCTACTTCTTTCCCTCATTTCTGCCACTGCCTGAACTAATTAGAATCACCATTTGCTGAACGATTGTCACCCTGTGAGTTTCCTGCAATATTTTCTTAGATTAGGTCCATCATTTCCTAGTTCTTATATCTTCCTCTTTCTTGGTGTTCACTCTCATTATGTTGGAGTACATCCACAAGTAGTTTTCTAAGAAATAATTCAGAGGCGTGGGTCCGAAAATGTTTTATTCTGCTCTACACTTGACTGATTGTTTAATCTTAATATTTTAAAAAAGGCCTTTCTGATTTCTCTAAATAATAGAATCTTCATTGCAATAAGGGTTGATAATATTATGAAGAGAAATACTGAGAGATACTAGAAAGAGGCAGCTAAAGATTCCCTTGCTTAAAGCAAAGCAAGGAAATAAGCAGATATTGGTAGAATCCAGGAAATTATAAAAATAAGGAGTAAGAGTTGACTATAATTTAATTTTAATTTTAGGTTTAAAGATTTTAATTTTTTGAAAGTATTAGGTGACTGATGAACCTAGAAAGCACATTGCACTAGGGGTCTGATTTCTGCAAAGGAGAAGACCCGGTTTCCCCAAATGTCAGATCTATCATGTCTACCACCCAGGTAGATTGCGAACTACGTGGTATGCAGAGACCTGAATCCTTCATGTTTGACCTCTTCGATGTTAACACATATATTAAGTATATTTCTCTGAATGTGCTCAGTGAATGTTCTGGTCAGAGGTAGAAAGCAATGCCCATGAAGAAATCAGTGTGATTCTTTACCTTTCATAGACATGATAAGTTTTGTTATATTATTGAAAAACATTTCTACAAACATTTTTTAGTAGAAAAAAATACCACCTTTTACGCAATTAAAAAAATCCTCTTTGCCTTTAAGGAAGCTACCAAATGCAGGTATTCAAACTTTTCAACATTTAATTGGATACCTATGATGTACAGTACTACGTTAGGCCCTGGGGGAAGTTCTAAGGAGTGTGAAGTATGTTTTCTGTCTTCTAGGAGCTTGCAATACTAACACATATACAATAGTTAGCAAATGTTTTCAGTATTTAAGTATTAAATTGTGTTTTGCAGACTATATACTATATTACTGTGGAAAATGAGTAGGAGAAGATAAACAAAAGCTAATTGTTGATGAATGCGCTATAGTTTTTCTTCTTTGCTTTTTTCATTGCCAAGAAATTATCTGTAATATAATATGTTCACACTATTTAATGTAATATTTTTTTCTGAAATTGTAGGGCTAAATATTTCACAGTAGTATGTTAGACATGCTGTACCTTTACTGTTCTAGGGCTTTTAAGTGAACCAGCTCAAATGGTAGGTATTTGAGTTCCTGTACTTAACTGCCTAACTAGGCTGTGAGTTCCTAGAAAACAGAAATTACCTTTTCTTTATTTAGTAGAGAAAAGATTGCCTTGCATAGTGCCTTGTGGTGGGTAATTCAATATATATTTGTTGATTGACCAAGTGAATAAATGTACTTTCTTACTTTGGTCTATCATCTCAGTTATTCAGAGGTTAGTGTCAGTAAAATCAAGGAAACAATTTTAATTCTCATATTGCCCAATAGCTTTACATAGAAAAACCCTTTTCATAACCCAGGGAGTCTCAAAATTAAGTAATTCTGCAAACTTGTGAGCAGCAGTCCCCAACCTTTTTGGCACCAAGGACGGGTGCTCCTATGAGAATCTAATGCCTGATGATCTGAGGTGGAGCTGAGGCGGTGATGCTAGCGCTGGGGAGCGGCTGCAAATACAGGTGAAGCTTTGCTAACTCGCCCACCGCTCACTTTCTGCTGTGTGGCTGTGGCCTGTGGCCTAACAGGCCACAGACTGGAACCAGGGGTTGAGGACACCTGTCATAGAGCATATGCTGCACCAAAGTATAAGGGGAAAATATTTTTTGACAGCATACTGTCCTGTGTGCTTTTCTCATTTCTACCACCCACAGAGCTAGAGTTTGGGAAACAAACAAACAAAACCATAGTCTGATCATAACTTTGACACTATTCCTGATAGACACCACCTCCAAAGGTCAATTGCAATATAATTTATTTCCAAATGTCCTGGGACTGTTGTCTCTTAAACAAAGCAAATGTCCTGTATAACACTGGTCACAGAATATAAACTTTCCTCGTTGCTGGAAATCTGAAACTCAATGTCTTGGTTGTCATCTCTGTTGGCAGATGATAGATGGGCATGACAGCAAAAAGGTAAATGTCGAGTTTCTCCGCTCGAACATTGGGATTGTTTCCCAGGAGCCAGTGCTGTTTGCCTGTAGCATAATGGACAATATCAAGTACGGGGACAACACCAAAGAAATTCCCATGGAAAAAGTCATAGAAGCCGCAAAGCAGGCTCAGCTGCATGACTTCGTCATGTCACTCCCCGAGGTGAGCACCAACTCATGGGAGATGGGGATGGGGAGAGGTAGAATGATCAAAGAGTATTATGATTTGGGCTCAAGGAGAAGGTCAAATGCAACACAATTTATTTCCCAATGCCTGGGATTATCTCAGTCTTTTAAGCAAAATAAATGTCCTTCATCAACATATTCCTCACTTTGGAGAAGTATTATATTATCCAATGCAAAGGATGCTGTAGAGCTTGTGATACATAAAGCAGTGATACATTGAGTATCAGCTTAGCATAATGAAAGAAGCCCTGAGATTTGGAGCAGACATCGGTTTGAATCCAAGCTCTGCCACTTATTAGCTGCATAATTTTGGGACAATTACTTATCTTTTCTGAGACTCGATCATTTGCAAAATGCAAAAAATAGCATTAAAATGAAAGAATATACATAATAGCCACACAAAGAAAGCTGCTGCTGTTATTATTGTCATCATTGCAATTTCATTACACATCATACGTGGTGGGGTAAGTAGCATCTGCCCTAGTGCATCTCACTTTTCCAGAGTCAAGTTTGAACTTAGCACAATATCAACTCTGAGTTTTTTCATCTACCTAGAGTCTCTTGTAAAAAAAGAGATTAAGACATGGAAACTGATTCTTAAGAACCAAATATTACATTTAACCCTTTTCATTTCTTTGAAATACCATAGGGAAATAGCTTTTCTTTGTAATTGATTAATTATGTTTATAAATTCTCTGGTGTTTGTGCTGGGCTTTCTTCTTTGTTCTCTTCACAAAAGCTCCTAAGTCTTAGGCTCTTGGTCTTCTTCTAATTTGGGAAACCAAATCCACAAGCATGTGGAAATTACCCTTTGCTGTATCCTAAATGAAAAAGCAAAGCTTGAGTGCCCCCTGGAAGATTCATTTATTCCATAAATCTTTGTTGAGCACCTGCTTATTTTATAGGAGATACTGATTTAGAGTTGGTTTATTGCCTCTTTCTCACATAGACTTACCTATAATACCTTTCACTGAGCACTTTCTCTTCACAAGGACAAAGTAAGTTATTATGAATCTCAGCTTAATTGAACATTTGTCAGGAGGCAAAGGAGGCAGAGAAGACCTTGTTATGGAAGGCAGGTAGACTAGTGGTCAAGGGCAAGGGCTCAAAAATTAGACACACCTGGATTTAGATTTCACCGTCACTGCTTTTTATTTGTTTGTCTCTACACAATTTTCTTACCTGTCTATGCCTAAGTTTTGTAATCTGTAATATAGGGAGAAAATGATTTATGTGAATATTAAATGATAATCTTGCTAGAGTAGTTAGTACCATACCTGATGCACAGCAAATAGTCCATGAATGCTAATTTTTTTTAATGTAGTCATGCCAGGCACCTAGCTAGGAATTTTTTCTTCATAATTTCATCTAAAACTCACAACAAATATGTGAACTGGTTATTAATATCTGCATTTTTTAGACTAGTTTGTACCTTAAAGAAATTTAAATAATTTGTCCGTGATCACAGAGCTAGTTAGCAGCAGAGTGGAAATTTGAACCTAGGCTTGTGTTTTGCAATGGCGCCTCTTCAAAAGGGGACTGGACGAGAACATTTCTTAAAAGATTCTTTCATTCTTAGGATTATTCTGTTTTGGAAAGATCTTCCACGCAGGGTTTGGAAATCAAGGAATCATGAATCAGGGAGGATCTCATATACAGGGAGAAAGAGATAAAAAATACAAACCCAAAAGGAATCCAAAGAAGGAGATGTATAGTTTCCTTGTTTCCCAACACAAAAGGTCACAAGCTGCACATTTTTTTTTATATTTCTAAAGGGATTGACATCTGATATAGAAGGATTCATTCACTATCCCAATTTCAAAATGCAACAAATCATTTCAATTCTCAGAGGGGTCATTAATGTGGGCTCCAACAGCATAGGAGCAATGGCTACTTCTTGGTTTTCACACTTAACATACTTTTTGCAGAAATATGACACTAACGTTGGGTCGCAGGGGTCTCAACTCTCTCGAGGAGAGAAACAACGCATTGCTATTGCTCGGGCCATCATTCGTGATCCTAAAATCTTGCTACTTGATGAAGCTACTTCTGCCTTAGACACAGAAAGTGAAAAGGTATGTATTGATTTTCTAAAGTCTTGGATTATTATAAATGAATCTTTTGCTATAATATCTGTCTTTATAAAATGGTACTATTTTTAGTTTTCTGATTCATTAACAGTAGAAATTGCCAACACTTTGTAGAGCCAAAAGATAATAATCTAGAAAAGGTGATTTAAAATAGAATTGCTTCAAATAAAAAAAAATTTAATTTTAAAATAAAAACTGTTTTTAAGATCCTCTAGGCTTAGTGATTTTTTTTAAGGGCAAATAATTAGTTTTCTTAAGTAGAGTAAAACAATTCAGATCATCTGTTGGGCATTATATTTTATAGTTCCAAAGTTATGTAGCAGAGCAGGTAGGCAGCATAAAACACTAGGTAAGAGGTGGTATCTGATTTCCAGTTTGCATGAAAGGAAGTGCAATTGAGCAAAACACAATAATGAAATTTACCATTTATTAACTCCTTAAAAACCAGGACTCCATTTTGGAGAGAGTTAAAATATCCTCAATGAAGTACAAAATCAGGAATGACCAATGACTGCTTCCTTACCTTGTTTCCTTGGTTTCACTTTAGCAAACTAGACCATCAAGTATTTTAAAATTACATAATGACCTCATGTTTTCGTTTGTTCTTGCTTCATTGAAATTTCTCAGTCTGTGGACTACAACTCAAACCTTTGATGCATTGCATTCAGCAAATATTTCTCTTATGTTAAGCCTTTGGGTTTAACTCCTGAATATAGCAATGTTACTCAGGTGGTATTAAACCCAGCTCTTGCAGTGGTGGACCAGGGAACAAGCATGTGTGTTTACATCAACTTTTAATCTTTTCTTTGCAGACGGTGCAGGTTGCCTTGGACAAAGCCAGAGAAGGTCGGACCTGCATTATTATTGCCCATCGTTTGTCCACTATCCAGAACTCAAATATCATTGCAGTTGTGTCACAGGGTATAGTGATTGAAAAGGGGACCCATAAAGAACTGATGGCCCAGAAAGGAGCCTACTACAAACTAGTCACCACAGGAGCCCCCGTCAGTTGACCTGACTCAAGAACTTCACACAAAGATGACGCACCCATTACAGCAGTGCCGTGGGTTATTATTTTTTTTCTTTAAGGAGAAATGATGATACTTTACTTTTACACACATTGTCATACATTGGGATCCAAGCTAATTTCTAATGACCTTCAAAAATAATTTAGTTTTAAATATCTATATAGAAAATGAAAGAAACTAGGTCTAGTGTGTGTGAAAAGCCGATGTCTAGTGGATGCTCAGGCATTGCCCAGTGTTTTCTCTATACAGGAGCCAGTCCCCATTACCACATGGGAGTTAGTGAGAAGTATTCGAGTGAATGAACTCAAGCACAGAGGAGTTTTTTCTTTTTTTTGAATGCATCATTTGTCAGATCCAAGACAATAAAAGTGGGAAATGTTCATTTTTCCCATTAGGATAGAGCAGTGCCTTCCAATCGAAATGTAATATGGGCCACTAATATGAGCCACATATATAATTTAATATTTTCTACTTGCATTAAAGAAAGAAAAAGGTGAAATTAATGTTAATAATATATTTTATTTAACCTGATCTATCCAAAATATTATCACTGTAACAAGTAATCAATATAAAAATTAGTAATATTTTAAATTACTTTATGATATTAAATATTCAAACATTGATGTGTATTTACACTTACTGAGTATCTTAGCTCAGACTAGCCACATGTCAAGCTCTCAGCAACAACTTGTGACTAGAGGCTACTCTATCAGACAGACAGGTTCATGAATTTTCTGGTCTGAGCCTCAGTTGTTCCATGACAATTTGAGTCTTATAAAAACATGAGCCCAGCTTTTTCCTTGAAACATGTCCTTACACTGTACTCAGAAACTTTGGAAAACTTGTTTAAGCAAAGATCATAGTGCCCATTTGGATTAATAAGAGAGCTTGGTAGAATCAGACTCATGAAGTTAGAAGTTACAAATAGAATCATATTGGCTCTTATCAGAGTGGTTAAAATTCTTTATGTCATTCATTTTATTTTGATCCACCTTGTTGAATTGAGTTGACAAAGGGGAAAGAAGTAAGATTGCTTAATGTGACATACTATAACTTTAAAAGCTGCCATATTATCTAATTCTCCTGGGGTCCTCTTTCCTAAACTTTAGTTTTACTTTCAGAAAGTTTAGAATCATTTATGATTTTTTCTATAAACAATTGTTATGAATAATTGGAACAGCACATTTTCTAACTTATTTTGGGAGGAAAATATCAGTCATTTGGTGCATTTCAAATTTGTATGGAAGCAGATGCCCATAAACCAGAAATATTACCATCTGAGAAAAAAAAATAGAAGACTTAGCCTCTAGATTCTTCTGTCTAGAAATTCTTTTTCATATAGTTACTCTACATGTGCTTTTTGGAAATCATTTCAATGAAAAGACACTTTGAATTTAGTGGTGCATTCATGCATGTAATTTAGACAATTATACACTGACTTAAAAATGTAGATCCTGGAATATTTTGATACTATATCCTGAAACAGAAAAATACATAGGATCATAATTAGATATACTTTACCAACATTTATTCATGAACTAAATGTAAGTTTTCTATCCTAAGAAAGTATCAGAACATTCTCATCAGGTTGGTTTAGGATCCCACCTCGTATTTTCAACTAATGATTGGATTTATTAATATCATTTATGCATTTAGAATCTCTTTGTAATCAAGTCACATAAGGAGGTTAGTGGAGATTAAAAAGTTGCAAATTTGGTTGTTGTTTTCAAACACATTTTGAGACGGATTTACATATGCATGTGTGCCATTATAAAATAAGTATTATGTCTATCTGTATTTGCTTTAAATTTCCAGATCAAGTGAATAATCTCACCTACCCATAAGAAATGGCAGATGAAAGTAACTTAAGCAAACTTTGAAACCCAATTCTAATTCTTTTCACACTGTGTTGTTAAATGCCCAATTAATTTAAATGGATAGATTGTAAATAAAAGAGTGCACATGATTATCATCTAATTGGCACTGGCCAGCATTATAATGTGCTCATTAGTGAGTTGTATGGTATCCTAAAGCTCATAATGAGTAATCAGGATACACATGATTGGCATGTAGCTGTCTGGATGCAACTACTCAATGCAATAAATCAATGCTAGGACAAAATGTGCAGTAGATAAAGGAAGAAGAATACATAGCCAGCTGGTGAATTGGCAGTTTCCTCCTGTTTATAATTCAGGTACAGCTCCTACTCTCAGATACAAAGAGATAAATGTGAACACAACAGAATAGCTGGAGATAGAAAGGGAAAAGTTCACCCTGGGTGACCCAGAACAAGTGCCTGTGATTATTAAGAATGATTATAGAAAAGAGAAAATAATGCTATCTTATTAGTTGAGAGTATATATTTCTGATATATCAAGTATGGGATCAAAGTAAGAGATAATGTTTTCATAATATTCCTTGGAAGGTGAAAATTCAATAAATCATTTAAATATACTTTAATTAACATCCAAAAAGCATTTTATAATTTAGAAAGCATTTTGCCTTCATAATCTTTGTACGTTATTGTGAAACCATCTAGCAGCCTGCAAGGGAGGAATGCAGCTGTAAGTTGCATTCATTGTTATATATATATGAGAAGTCATTATGGCAGGCATCATAGGTTATCTAATTGGACACCTAATCCTATACCCTTTTCCATTGCTTATCTCTATTGCAGAGGCCAGAAAGTAGTTACTTTCCTAGACTCCCTTGCAACTGGGAGAGGCCATGTGACACTGTTCTGGTCAATGGATTCTAGGTACAACAATGGAGGTTATCCCTTCCGGAATAAAGCGTGGGTCAAAGAAAGCCTGTTTTCCTTCCCCATTTCTTTTTTTCCTGGATGTACAGCAGCCATGCTGTGGTCATTTGGACATGACCATGAATGGTAGAGCAGGAAGACAGACTGAGCCTGATTCCTGGACATCATTGAGAAGCTGCTCCAGCCTGGATTGCCTACCTCCAGCCATCCTATTACACAAGAAAAAGACACCTCTCATTTGTTTAAGCCCTGAAGTCATTTTTTATAGTCGTTGTTGTTAATTATGGATTAACACAATGTTAATAAATAAAGTTAGATTTTTATTAATAAAAAATACTGAAACATAAGTATAAAGAAAATAATGCAATGTTTAAGTATTGATGTGTGTTTAAATGACCTTAAAATAGGACCTTTACATTTAGAGATATTCAAAAATTATTGATCGAAAGAAGGAATTAATCATAGTTCTTTTTTTTAAATATCACTGCTATGAAAAGGAGATAGCACTGGATATAAGGCCTTGCAGCTCATTCTAGCGGTTTTTTGAGAACATTCCATATACCCTGATTTATCATGCTTTAAGTAAAAAATTTTACTTTTAGGGACTTGGTATTATGTGATTATGCTTTCTCATTCTCTCCTATGATAAAATTAGTGTTAGACTGGGAATGATCTGGATTCCATTGGCAGTAAATAGCCAGAGTTGAAAAGAAAGTGATTCAAGAAGAGGATGAATTTGAAACAGGGTCAATTGGAAGAGATGGGGAATAATGTTACTAGATAACTTGTAGCCAAATATAGTCTCAATTCAATCCTTCCAAGCCCACAGGCCAGAGATAGCCCAGCCCTGGCATCCACCCACAGCTACAACAGGTAGGCCTGGAACACTGGGGATCTCTCTTAGGGTAAGGCCTATATTGTACCCATCTTTGCATATCTAGCATCCAAAAGAACTTAATAAGTGTTTGTCAAGGGAGTGAGTAGGGGGATTAGAGAGAAAAGAAAACCAAAGACAGCGGGGCCTTGTTTGAGCCTGAGAAGATTTTAGAAGCTATTTGAAATTGGATCTCTAATTTTCATTTAGCATGGCCATCCTCAAAAATTTTGGCATCATATAATTTGGTATGAGAGTTGCGTTGTATTAAAGAAGCACATTACAACAGCCACATAGAATTAATAAGTAAATTTCATCTTTACGTTTTTGAGAAATCCATAATTAGCCCACAACAAACTCACTAAAATGTTCTTTCAAACTTCTAGTCACTTGCCTCACACTGTGCAGTTGATTAGGCACCTCCAACTCTCCTCCCACAAAGCAAACTTCTTCCATTCTTCTCACTCAGGCTGTTATTATATTTAGCCCCTTAGTATCTCTTCCAGCGAGAAGACTTTCCTCTTTAGAACCTTGACAAAGAGGAAGTGGAGCAGGTAATTTAATTATAGGATCCTTTTTGTAAGAGAAGTGAGTAGAAAGTCTATGAATATTACCATGTTTATAATTTTGCCCCATAACATTAATTATATTATTTCACATTTCAATGCAAGTAAAATAGCTACAAAATTTAGATTCTAATTGAATTAAAATGTTTTAAAGTCCAAAATGTATTATGTAAATGAAAATTGTTTATTAAAAAAGCAAATTACAAAACAATACTCTTTAGAATTTATAGCCCTGTTCATTGCATGTAAATAAAATGTAATACGCTCTGGCTTTTCCAATGTCATTTAATGAGATCCTTAGAGTTGCAGAATGTCAGAGCTGGATGAACTTTCCATTCTAAGTCCATTTTAAGCCTGATTTGAGATATTAGTCAACCTAGCCCCCAACGTTAAATGGCCTCCCAGCATCACAGTAGTTAGATACAGAGACAGACTAGAATGTGGGTCTGATGACCCCAGTCCAGGGTCTTGCCACCAAACTCTACAAAGTCCTTGAATTTTCTAGCACTTGGCTCTTGTGTTCTAACATCCCTTAGGATCCACACAGGGACATGTGGCACCACCTCCTGAGGCCAGCATGAGCAGGGTATCAACATTCAAATGCTAGCAAAATAAGATGCACAATAAAATCTCACGAACTCAAGAGTCATTTACTTTTCCTTTGTTAAGTCAATGCAACCTTCATATAGAAATATGGCAAGGCCTCTACCATTTCTTTCATTCAAAAAAAAAATTGTTAAAAAGTAGTTTGGAATGATTATATAGAAAAAGGGATCTCAAGGCTCAGATGCTTTTAATGTAGAATTACTTAACTTGAGGGCAAGGGTGATGTCTATGAAAGGCAGTGATGGGTGAATGCAATGTCCACCTTCAGAAAACTCCTTTCAGTAACAGCAAAATATATGAGCAAGGATGACAATCTGTCCAACACTGTTCATAAGACACAGGCCAAGTCCAGGAAAAAGTCAGTTCTTTGGACAGAAGTGAGAGTGTGATTGGGCCAATTGATGTGCAAGGGTAGACGAGAGCTAGAGGAGGAAAGAAGCTCTTCCTCTTAATTAGTTCTGGGTTTCTTTTCCAGACACACATATGGCCTGCTCCTCCTACAGAGTATGCAGATAGTCCCAGGGAACTGGTTTCTGCTCTCACTCGGGCCAGCGCCGGAAATGGGCTGATGTCCTGCTGGAGAGAATGCTCCCCTTGGCAGCCCCTGGTCTGCCACAAAGCCACTCGGCAGGACCCTGCACTCATTCCCTTTCCCTGTGCTGGCAGCTCCTTCAGAACACAGTGTTCCTCGGGGAAATATCATGGTTTGAACTGAAGACAGATTCTTTTTGTCTTGGCAAAATGTTAGAGGAAAAGAAAAGATTCCAAGAAATTTCAAAATCCAAAACAGAAAATAATTAACCAGCTTTATGCTAACCTTTCTAACCTCAATCTTCGCATTTTCTCCATCCTTGAGAATAACCCTTCTCTGCTGACGAAGGAAATGATGTGATTTCTTCTAAGTCATTACTGTGATCTCCGTCAAAGAGCAGCCGTGGCAGTCATTAGTACGCCACATCAAACCGGCCTCAAATTTGACAAAAACTACATTTGTCCTTTGCAGAGCTAAAATGAAGGACTTCTAACTCAGAATTTTCCCACGAGTTTCTGTCATTTGGCAGAAGTTTCTAGAGTTGTTGCTTCTTACAGAACCTTCCTGCTGTTACCATTTTTTTTTTAAAGAAAAACTAAAGTCTTCAAAAAAAAAAAAAAAGAACAAGTAGCTCCACATTACTGTCAGTATGGAATCCCATTGGAAAGCATTAAAGGTAAGGAGACAGGGAAGAATTAGAAACACCACCTTAATTTCTTGGCAACACTGAGGTCCAGGTAGTCATCCTAAGGGCTGTTTGCAATTCCCAGAGTGACCAGGACAGTCAGTCAATGAGGGCAAAATCCTCAGGTGCAACTGGACACCAGTAACTCTTTTTCGAGCAGTTTCTGAATAGCCATGAAATTACTGGTGTCTAGCATACAGGTATGGTAGACTCAGACAAGCAGAACAACTTGATCAGAGAGTCATTCAGCTATAGGGAATGTGGTCATGAAAATTGGGTAAAACTCTATCCAGTTTCGTGGCCCTTAGAAGGTTTCTAAGACACAGTGCAGGGAGGGGAAACCCCGACTCCCTGATCTGAGGCAACAGAGCCAAGAGTCTAGGGATACTGAAAGGGGTTAGAGCTCATAGAACAAGGGAAGTGAGAAGGTAGCTGCACAGAGAAAGAATCCCAGATCTGTTGAGGGCTTCCCTCAAAAATGCAGCAGAGTCTCCTGGTAAATTTTTATAGTCACTTTAATCCTTCAAGTCTCAGAAATGTTTAATATCAGTTAGCACACAAGTTAAAATTTTCTTTTAAGTGTGTAAAGATCACCATGGGATTTACCCATCACCATGAATGTTTTATGACTCGTTAACAGTAACTATTATTTTTTTCATCTGGAAAATTACATCTGTGGGTTAATCAAAAGATCCCTGGGCTGGGGTAAGCATACTTTGTTCATGTTTTGCCAACAAATCAATTTCTTCATATAAAATAAAGTAGTTAATACCGATTCATGTTGTCTCACAGGAATGTGGTACGGGTGACAATATTAAAATAATGCTTTATTTTTCTTTCCCCCGGGAAAGCCACTGTGAGACCTGCTTTGTGCTTTTCAATTCAGTAGCCACTAGACACACATAACTATTTAAATTTAAATTAAGTAAAAATAAATAAATATTTAAAATGCAATTCCTCAGTTGCATTTGCTGCATTTAAAGAGCTTAGTAGCCTCATATAGCTACTGACTACCATTTTAGACAGCACAGATATAGAGTAGTTCCATCATTGTAAAAAGTCTAATTAAAAAGTGCAGGAATACATAGTTTTATATACTTAAGAAATGAATCACATTTTGAAACCAAGTTTTTTGACTTTCTCTTATACCAGTTTTCTTTGTATGTGTATCTACCAATTCGATCTTGAATTTATTCACCAATTTTTGAATAAATAGAAAGCATTTAGAGATATAACTTTGAGCTTCAAGGGCATCTTATAATAATTTTTAAATTTCCCTTCTGTTATTATGAAATCGATCCAGCAAAGGCATCAGTTTAACCTTCTAAGGCAGATGTCCAATCAATAGGTTGTTAAAGGAAGTGGATTCAACATTCTTCTTGAGAGCTAGTGTTAGCAATAAAAAATTCTTTCACATTTATTTTCAAATATATGTTTGATTGGACAGTTTCTCAAGTCAACTGTCTAGAGTGTCATCCTGAAAACTCATGATATTAACATTTCTCTCCTGAATATGTAGATATGTAGGCATTTTGAATATATGGATATAGTTAGTAACAGCAAGTCAATTGAGCTCGATTCCACTTACTTTTGGTAAACAAATTAGAAGCAGAGGAATCTTTTCCATTATTATTAAAGGCAAACATTTTCTCCAAGGCTGTGAGAAGCTGTTCCTCTTGCTGCCTAAGGAGTTTCAACTGCAAAAGCCATTTGCCACCATATGGATCCCGCCAGGAGACTTCAACTAGAGTAAAAAGGGAAATCTCATCACATGGGGACTCCAGGGCTTTACTGCAGATAGGAGTAGAGTTAATACAATTAATGAAGATTAATTATAGAAAATGAGCCCACACCTCATCCTGTTCCCCTTTTCAGGGACATGTATCATCCACCAGACAGCACTCACTGTGGCGTGGCTGAAGAGAGCTTCTTTCTGGGAACTGAGAAGGGATCTACAGTGGAGTCAAGCATTGTAGCAGAATTTCTTGGCCCTCTTTCCTCAGGCCTTGGTAAGAGCAGGCTGATACTGTATTGGGATGGAAAATTCTTCAAGGTTAACATTACTGATCTCAAATGAAAATTTGACAAAGAGCTCTCAGCCAGGAATGAGCTCTCTGACAAGTGCAGAAGAATACATGATGAGGCAAATGCATTGCAAACTGTGAAAAGGTTGAAATGATCTTCTAATGACAACTGGAAGGCTTGAGCAAAGGAACGGAAGTCATGTTAAGGATCATTCTTCCCTCTTTCACCCCAAATATCACATGAGACAAATTTCATTCTTAAGATAATCTCTCTTCATACCTCAACTTTTTGCTTAGGAATCACTAAAATTAAGTTCAGTTACCGTTTAGAAAACAAGCTATTAAGTGTGTTTTGTAAAAGCTACAGCATATACTGTGTAAATACACTTAGAAATGAACCAATAGTTACTTTAATTTTTGAGGTTTTGTAATCCTCAACTAGTATCTTGTCAAATAGTACTTGCTTCAACTGTTATGTTTTCATAAATATTTATGGTTTATTTAATATGTCATCATCTAAAATAAATCATGTATTGGAATTCTTGAAAAGACTTACATGAAACATTGTGGTAGATCACAAGTCACTAAGAGATGCAGCAAAATTTGACTCAAAATGTACTTGATCAAAATGACGGTTATCAACTTAAAGTCCAGAATTACTAGGTCCAATAAGGAAAAAAAACCCTTACAGAGAAATTCTTAACATAATATTTATATTCTATCAATATTAGTTTTCTAAAGTAAAGCTGTAGATTTCATTCATAGTTCAGTATCAAAAAGATTAAAATAGCTAACAGATATAAGCATTTAATAGTTTTCCTAGGTTGGAGCATGACCTTGAGGAAGGCACTTGATTTCCCTAGTTTTGAAAAATTGGCTCCCTAAAAATAAAGTATAAGAATGTCACAGTGAAGAGATAAGCCTTTTGGGGTAAATAATGTTCTAAGCAGAGTATCTTCAGTAGTATTTATTGAAATATTTAAAAGCACTACTGTAAAACAGAGAACGAGAATTAAACAGAGGTTCAAGTCTGGACAGTAGCCTGGCCTGTTTGCTTTCCCTGGATCTGTATCTATATCTAGAGCCATCACGGCCCCTCTCAAGATGCACAGTGTAAGTCAAACAGGATGTGGTATTTTAATGTTATTTTTGGAAAATTAGCTGAATTACATAGCAATTATCATAGAATCTATACAAAATCTTACTGATTTTTACTCCTTGAAAATGAAGAAATAAAACATAGTGTAATGGAAATGCTTTATAGAAGACTTGGGTTCTAAATCCTGTCTGATGGTGGTATGACAAAGGTGAGTCCTTTTACCTGAATGAGGCTCCATTTCCTTATACGAAGACTGAAAGGATTGGATTCGACTGCCACTAAAATGTCCACAAGAGCCAGAAACAGCTAAAGAGGAAAGGCATCTGATACTGGGTCTCCTTGCTGGGGTGCTGAAGACTGTGATAAATTGATAGTGTCAGCTTCCTACCGGGGATGGTCAGCAGCAGTCGATTGTTTCCAGGTGGGAATTCAGGCCCTTTGTTGCCATACCACCAGATTTTTCAAGAAAACACAGGAATTCAGATTTTTATGTCAAATATCATGGTTTTTAAATGTCGACAACTAGCTTTGGGAAAAAAAGATAAGACCACTGTGAAGACCAAACTAAACATCTGTGCAGGTGGGATAAGGCCTGTGGCTGCTGTTTTGTGCCCTCTGACTGGAAGCTCCCAGTCTCTCCCCTGCTCTTTGTTTCTACTGGAGGATGGATGGAGCAGGAGGGTCAACCTGGGACCACAGAGTGCTAATTCTGCACAACTCTAATTAACCTTTTTTGCACTTGGTTTCATTAGCATATGAATACAGTAGGGAATCAAAGCAACCACAGTCAGTGGAATGGATGCACTTTTACAGAAAGACAGCACATAAAATAAATGCTCTGCGTGAGTGGGGATCTTGATGAAATGGTAGAGCTGCAGTGTGGTCAATGAGGCCAGGACGCAGAGCAGCCGGAAGCTCAGCTTGTAGCCATTTTCCCCTCGGCAGCTCCTGAGGAACATCTCTGAGTTGATTGCAAAGCCCAAGCCAAAGAGGACCCCAAGGTTTCTCACCAGCCCAGCAAAAGGCGTGGTGTCAATGTGGATCCAGTCAGGGTTGGCGCACCACTTCTTGGCTATGGGCACAGACCACAGCAGGTCAATGTCAAGCAGTCTGAGAAGCAGGTAAAAGCCAAGTGCAAACAGGAAGAGGAAGAGGTTGGTCTTCAGGTATGTGCTCAGGCTGGCTGTTTGGATGCCTGGAGTGTGTTCAAAGGCCTCTGCCACAAGCATGCCTGGAATTAAAAAGAGACACCAAAGGTGACTATGTTCCCTTGAGCGCCCCTGGGAATCATTCCATTCTGTATTAAAGAATTTAGCCATAGTTTTCAATGATGAAGGGCTTTAGACACTTAGCTTCTATCCATTTTCCAAAGTCTTATTTTTAAAGCAGTAAGTAAACAAACACACATGCCCTATGATCCTTTCACCATTCGTATTAGGATGGGATGTGGGAGGGCAGGGAGGGAGTCTGTCAGGAATCCTAAAGTGAAGTGAATGACAATCCCCTTTATAGGCAGAGCACTGATTTAGGTGATTGCAATTAATATTTCAATTGCATAGCCAATTAACTTAGAGAGCCTTTGAAAAGATTTTGGGGCCGAATGAAAGAAACTCAATCATTGTGAATGCTACTTCAAAAATACAAAGCAGTTGCTGAATGAAGTTCATGGTCATGTAATAATCACTTCAGGTGTTTCCAAGAAAGTGGTATGCAGGTTGGAAGGCCATTATTAAGTCCCCAAACCAAGACAAGTAGGCTGTCTGAGTGGTGCTTTGGGAGTTGGACTTAGATGTATTCACACTTCAGAGAAGCTCATCTCAGTAAGAGATTAACATTTACATCATTAAGTGAGACTGTGCCATTGTGTACATGGAGGATTTGAGAGGTGTGTTGAACCACTTAAGCTCCCAGGGTAGCATTAAATGTCAGTGGCTTGACAGAATTAACCGAGAATGGGAAACTGATTACCAGGGAGAATCTGACAACATAAAACAAATGACACTAAAGCTTTCAAATGATGCAACCAAAGGTAAATGATTATATTTACCACCAATTACTCCAAGAATAACTTGATGAGGAAAATGTGTTGCTATGAATACTCTGGAGATGCAAACACTGATTTGAATCAACCAAAAAAGACTCCAAAGAAATGACCAGGTCAATCTACAATGGAAGAATAGATAAAGCATAAAAAGCAAATAAATCGTATCACTTGTAAAATTAGAGGGGTGACACAAGATCACCATCCTTAGAGGAATAGTCTAACTGTGATATAACATCATGATTCTAGAGTCTTTTTTTTTTTTTTTTCAAAATGTTATTTCCATGTGCTCCATTGGATTGGAAAAGCTTTAACAGAGGTTTCTACATTTATCAATGCATTAAATTTACGTGCTGAGATTTTAGTAAATGCTATGAAAGGAAGCCAGTTTGACAACCTAATAATTATCTTAATGGAGTAGAGGAAATTCATGTTTGGGGGAATTACTAATATCCAGAATGATCAAGAATGAATTTTATAATTTTTTACTCCCTATCATATGTGCTTCCTCTTTTCCTTTCTCTCTCAAGCTTTTGTTGCTTGGAGAAACTCACTGGAGAGGCAGCTGCCACTTACTCTATGAAAAGCAAACGAGCATTCTATCAAGGGCAAGTTTATACTGGGTTTAGTTTTAGACTCTCAAAAGAGTCCTGATTCCTTGATTTTTAAGATATGTAAAATAATGAACAAAGGACTTGACCTATAGGTTATACATGGATGAGAAACAGTAATGTACAAGTACAAAAACATGTAAAAATATTAAAATCCAAGCAAAGCTTGTTATTTTAATTAAAAAAAATTAGCAATATTGAATTCTAAGAATATTTAGGGGTTCTGAATGGTTTATTCCTGATAATTAGAATAAACTTTGGTTATTGAAAAACTAAGGAATAGAGAAAAATGAGACTTCCAAAGAAGAAGTAAGCTGGGGTTATCCATAAGGAAGAAGAATAAACAAGGATTTGGTAATATTAAGGTAAGGAGTAGGTACTAATCATTTTGATGGATAAAGGGACACTGCAGTTATAAAAATCATGAAAGAGTTATGAGTTTTTTTTGGAAGAAACAACTATTTTTCCAGGTTTGGAAATTGGAGGAAGAGATCAATTACAGAGAAAAGGTGATGCTTATCTAGACTCCTACTTTGAAAAACTGTCTGTGGATAGAAAATGCTAATTTCTTTAAATTACAACTTTTTACTGTTGTTGTTTTGGATAATGAATACATTAAGACATACATGGCACAATCTGTCTCATTAGAATAGACTTTAAGTATGCCCAAATTCCTTTGGTTGTTTGTTTCTTATATTATCCAATACTACTCTAAATTAAAGTGGACTATATGGTGGATCTTGGAAATTTTTATTTTAAAAGAACTTTATATATTGGCTTCTGTTATAGTATTTTTAAAGCAATTACTGAAAAATCTTAGCTCAGGTAGCCTAATAATTTATGATTAAAGTGGTGCTCAGGATTCTTTTAATGATAATTAAAGTATTTTGGGGAAGAAGAGCCCAATTCCTACAACCATTTTGAGTAATCTTAAAGTTCTAGGCCTTTCTGAACATTACAAATCTGCTAACATTAAATCTACTAATATTCAAATTTAAGTTTGCTTCTAGAATTCTTTTAATAAAAAGGTTGCAACATCTTTAAAGCTAGAATAAATGTTGTTGATATAAAAAACACTGGCTAGTCAAAGAAAGAAGCAAATTAACATGCATTCAAGGGGAATGAAGATTCTCAAAGTTTCTAGTTAATCTGAAAGCAAGGGAGTATATATGCAAAATTGTTTCCTTATATAATTTTAGGTGAATTATTTTATAAGCTACCAAAGTGATGATTGCATTATGGGAACCCAAAGGCACTTTTAGCAAATCATTGATCAATTAAACATTTCCAACCCTATAATGTGGCAATAGCTGTGAGCTTATTAGGACATTACTTTAAAGCAAAATATTATTTTCTGTTCATCTTGCTATTTTGTTTATGGTAGAATAGAATAAGCACATTTCAACAACTAAAAATATGCTAAAATAAATTAAAAAAAAAGACTTTTCCATATTCAAAACTGTTATATTCTAGTGCTACAGAAGCTGGCACAAAGCAGACCTGTGCAGAGTGATAGATGACTTATCCATCCGACTGACAGTGTGGCTCAGGGCAGCCGTTATCATGACATACCAGACACACGATGAGCCCATTGCATGGCCAGATGGACTTCCTGCAAAAACAGTGTTGATCCATTTGAAAGGTGGTAAACATAGTATCAATATCAGAAATGGATGGTAGAATAGCATATTAGCCATGAAAATTACAAATAACTCAGAAAAAAAACCACAGGGCACAGGCTATATGTAATGTTTAGATATAGGTAGAAATAAAGAAAAATAGTCAAATTGAGCTTCAAAACACTAAAAATTTTTTTCCAGATTTTTCAAGTTCATCAATTTACAGAAATTAAAATGTTCAAGGCTAATTAAGAACTCAGGATGTTGCATCAAAATCTCCCATATCTCTACTCATTCTTCATATCCAATTGTTTTTAATTAACAACAACAACAAAAAATTAAAGTGCTTGTATTAGATCTTGAATCAGTTTTGTTTTGTTTTGTTTTCCTCTTGGGCTGAAAAGTAAAACATCTAAAGAATATCATTGCTATGTCTGATTTACCAATTGACTACTGTGCACAAGCAGCTAGCTACCTCTATGCCTATCTTGTGACTGGCTGCTCCAATGGGAGCCCTTGTCATGAAATGCCAGAGGAAAAGCTCTAAAGGGGAGCATCAATCCTGGCAGAAGCCTGCAGACCGGTAGTCTTTCTATAACCAGAATGTCTTTCCCATGCAGCTTGATTTTTTTTTTAATCACTTTACTTTGATATTCTCCATAAGTCTTTACCAAGTGAAGATTCACTCAGGTTCAACATCAGTCTCTTTTTGAAAAATACTAAGTTAAACAAAGACAAATCTATTTTTTTTAGATCTATTTCTTTCAAATCTATTTCTTATGCAGGAATTTTCAGAGCCTTTTATATGCGTAAGAGAGTTGTAAATCTCCAAGGAATGAATATAGGATGCAATATGTCTTTCTTTTCTTTTCTTTTCTTTTTTTTTTCCCCCTGCAAATGTCTCAGAGAATACATGCTGGGAAGTGATGGGATAAAACAAGGTGGCATTTTAATGACCTCAAAAGTTATCCATCCATTCACCCACCTGCCCACCCACCCATCCACCCATCCATCCATACCACACTGATTTCACAAAGATAAAGTATACACAGTCTCTGACCTGATGGAACGCACAGTCTACTGGGGGAGCCAAATTATAAAGAATTAATTATAGTACAGTGTGATAAGTAATATAACAGATGGATGTACACTTTTATGAGAGCAAAAAAGAAAGATTCAGAGAACTCATTAGGAACTTACATATTCACTATAATCAGGGTTAGTCTCAAAGGATGGCAAATGGCAAAGATTTATGTAACAAACTATGGTGAGGTATAACACATTCTTGTCAATTAAAAATAACATCATGTAATTTCCTTCATATATATTTCAAAAAACCTTTTTATAGTTTGAAACTCAACTTCTATAGTAAAGATTTTATACTCATATAGAACTTTATTTATAATGAAAAGAGAAGTGGCCCAAGAAGTCTATTTACATATTTACACAAAAGAAAAAATATTTTAAAGAAATCAAGTAATACTGGGAAGTACTTACTTTTCTTATAGAAAATTTGCCTATTCTTTCCTCATTCATGAGATTTTCAGAAAACCTATAACAACTTTGAAAGCCGCTCAGCAGCAGATAAATCAGTATTTCTAGCATTTTAATATAGTTCTTAGGCAATTTGTTCTAGCAGTTTTTTTTTTTAGTATCAAACCATTACATTTTTCCAAAAAAGTGCCAAATATAAAATTATTTGATAGTATTCTCCTAATTTACCCTTTTACAAATAACACAGTGAAATTTGATTGCTCATAAAACTTTTCTTTCTTATTAACAATTTTTATGAACTTTTAGCATCCTCATTCATAACGTTTTCTTTAATACCCTATATGGTATCATACAGTTATTAGATGATAATCATACATAATGACTCTCCATTGGAATATCTTTTATAACTTGAGGCTGCCATAATTGCTTACCTGGACCTGTTTCGCATGTAGTGGGAAACTGTTCAAGGCATGGACTTGAGTGATTTGGGTAAATCTGAGTTTCTTGGACCCACCAGTAAGGCCGATGACCAAATAATATCCTGTATTTAAAGAAATATAAATATTCACATATATTTAAATATACAACTATGACTTAGTTGGAGACCAGCTATTTTCTCCTATAAAATGATTCAAGCAGAGAGTTGATGGGGAAAGCTCATGATTAAGAAACTTTGAAAGAACATGGGTTCTGGTCTGTCTCTCATCACAAAGGGTGACACAGTCATTTGGAGTTTGGACTGCCTAGCTTTTAGTAAATACAGGGACTTTTTTCCTTATAGGGGAAGTCCTGAGGGTGTTTGGGGTGCTTAGACTGGAAATATCAAAGTGGTCCCTGGAATCATCAATCTGTTCATTACGGTGCTGCTCATTTAACTAACTTGGCTAATCACAGCATACGTGTTAACAGGGTTTTGGAATTTACTTAATTAGTATACATTTGTATATAAAGGTACGTTTATAAGTATACATTTCTATGGCTTTTGTAAGTTCTACTTATGAAATGGTGTTTCAAGTTAACTGGTATGTTTGAAATATTCTTCAAGTAAAACTACATGCATCTAGAATGTGACCATTAAGCCAAAGCTACAAATTTAATAATAAGCTTTAGGAAAAATGAAGCAAAACAAAAGTCTTACCATTTAAAAATAAGATTGAACCAATCCCCAATGACTGCTACCCATATCATCTTAGTTCCAACTGTCTGATTAAGTTGAAACCAAAGCGGAAAATAAATAGAAAAGATATTCCGGGGGTCGCCAACATTGGACATAAAGTTTAGAAAATTGTAGTAAGCTCGGTAGTCCTTCTGCAAATGCTGAATAATGAGCACTCCATTCCTATGAAGGAAATCCATCTTGAAAGAAAGGTAATTCTAAACATAGAGCAATTGGAGCTGAAGTGCTCCGAGTCCCACCATTTTTATATGGTACTCTTGTGGCGTGTCCAGTCATTACCACAACATGTGACGCTGACCATCTGTGGAGAGGGCACGTTGGCCCTTGTCTGCTGAAAAGCTCATCTATTTATGATTTTAATTGGAGCCAAAGAGGTGAAGTACATGCTGATCTGTGACTAGTCAAGGGGAAATTTGGGTAGAGATACCACGAATTTCTTATGCAACCTCCCTTTTATGTGAACAGTTGGATCGTGTTTGCTGGAAATTTTTTGCACAGTTCATTTCCTTCAAAGGCAGAGACATTAGCAATTTCTGTGCTTGGCTAGAAGACTATGCAGATAATTACTGCATGTCAAAGAACCCTAAAAGCCATGCATTTTAATTTAAAATAGACTGTGGCTCTTCGACTATTTTATGGGGTCTTTGAGGAAAATAGATGAGTAAATATGTGGGCATGAAAAATTTATGTAATATGACATATTATTTTTTGATTGCAGACTTTTAAATAAAAATATTTTGATATTTCTTCTTTAGCAAAAAGAATGATATGATGTGTATGGAACAGAAAAGGAAGTACATGGAGTATATGAAATCAAGAAGGAGATGCGTTGCTTTTTAATCATGAGAGAAGAAAGCAGAGATGGAGGTCACTTAGCTAAACTGTTTTAGGACTGATTCATATTTTTGTTAATTAGAGAATACAATGGAGAGCATTGGGGAGTGCTCATGTGAAAGATAGGAATAGACTGCAAAGGGCTTTTGACCAATCGGCAATGTGGTTTGTTGAAAACAGAGTGTTCAGTAGAATTACATGGGACTCACCAAAACAAACACGGAGATTGGAAATAAACAGAAGGGCAGCTCAAAAAAAACTGTGGATCTAAGTCAGAAGTGAGATGCTGGATTTAGAGAGCTAAATTATGTTTATGAGGACTCCTGTGAAAGCAGTTAAGCCCCACCAGGTGGCGGAGGGTGGGGGTAGGACACCTAACTTATATTACCATTCAGATAGTTGTCTTTGCTGATCACAGCCTCCTTCACTAGGAACCTTCTTCACAGGCTATAAATATCACTTTGAACTTGTCTTGGAGTTCTGCCCCATCATTTAACAGCACCATTGTTAAATCGGGGATCTAGTGTCTATCAGTACCTTCCCAGCCTCTGTTGCCTCACTTGGAGCTAATGCTTTGACTAACCATTAAAAAAAGGCCATACCTTTGTCCTATCCCAGACAAATTAAATTTCTGTTGATGGGACCCAGGCATTGGTATTTCAAAAATACTTTCCAAGAAAGACCAATGTGCAGTCAGGGTAGAGAATTATTGTGATAAAGAAATTCATACATTACCCACTACCTTTCCCCGCTCTCCCCCCAAAAGTCAACCTGAAAGAAGTTCAATGACATTTAATATGCAACTTATGTAAATTATTGTATATAACTGGATTTTTCTATTAAATTTGATTTTTGTGCTGATTTATCTTGTCAAGACTTCAGAGAACCTATCTCTATAATTAAAGAAAAAAACTAATCTAATGAGAAATTATACAGCTAGTGACAGTTTGTACACAAACTTGGTATTGTGGGCCAGATGAAGTGAAACAATGGTAACAATTGAAATGCACTTAAATCAGGGCATGGTGATGACAGCTCTCCTCACTAAATTTTCTGTGATGCTCATCTGGAAGGAGCTTAAAACACAACTTGGTTTCTGTGAATGAGAACTGTGGTTTGACAGGCACAAAGAGATTGCAAGTGGCACCATGTCATTTTTCAGAAAGTAACTTTAAACGGCTGCCAGGAAATGAATATTAATCTCTATTTATAATGAAAGCCTTACTAGTCTCCCTTATCATTCTTATCATTTCAGTAGGAAGATAATCAGGAAGTAGCCAGTCAGTACTGGCCTGCCTTACGTTTTGCTCTTCCCCTAAGCAGCCCATGAATTACACCTACTCTCGATTCTCCCACTAGTGTGCTAATCTGATCTGAATGATATATGTGTTTGGGTAAAATTAATTGTGCTGAAAACTCAGTTGTGCAGTAGCATGTCTTGTATTTATGCTCTTCCAATTATTTAAGATACTTTTATTATTCTTTTAAAATACTCTGTCTTACGATTTGATTTTAACTTCACAGTGGTCCAATCATCCTCAATTCAATGATAAGGAAATGAACAAGTAACCTTCCCCATGTCCTTTCTCTAGTGCAGCATCCCTGTTTGAAGACTAAATTTTATTTCCAGAGCAATGCTTCTTCCTAATACAGGCTGTATTCAGGTTGCCTAAGGCCAATATTGGTGAGATTTAAAACAGTTGCAAAATGAATAATAGTCGATGCTATAACCAGATTGTTTCAAATGTTTTCAACTACCCAGACCTCTAGTTCAACTGTGTCATCATTCCAACTATAAAGCTTTTCTGTGTAGTCTTGTGAATTAGTTGATAACATAGGCATATCCGGCCAGCTGCCAGATCACTAGAAGAACTTCATAGATATAAACACCACTCTGAACTTCTGTTAGATGGTTTATCCTATCATTCGACAGCAAGGATACAGTTGTTATGGGGGTTTAGTGATTACTGTTACCTTCTCCGTCTCTGGCATCTCCCTGTAGGAAATACCAAAGTGGTATTAAAATGAGCAGTCAGAACTCGAAGGTGGCTTTGATTCTCATTCTCTGTTAATGGCCCTGGGACTCAGCAGACATTTTCTTCTCTGGAAACAAGCAAGTATGGAAATAAGTAAAGGCTGCCCAAATGAGAGCAAACAGAAGCTATTTATTCTGAGCTTGCTATAGCAAGAGTGAGCTACCATCACTTACATTTGACAGACTCAGAGCAGACAGGTTGCTTCTGAGGTTGTGAATCAGAGTTCTATTATCACATTTGGTCTGGCTATTGTCTATTTGTATTTTCAATCTCTTTCAAGACAAATTGAATAATCTTATGTCAGAAGTAGTTTATGTGGCATCCTACCAAAAAAATAAGGAAATTCCTTGTCTGTCCTATGATTCTCAAATTCTTACTATTCATTGAGTTAAAATGAGGGCATACAGTTGCTTATCAAAGGAAATCAATTTATTCAGGTATGTCACTACTCTATCTGAGGTATTAGCCTTGACTCATCTGTGCTTCTGGCTTTTTGTTTTGCATGTTCGTTTTGCATGGCTCTTTAATGAGCCATGAAGAAGGACATTAATTTATTCTTGAGCTACGTATTTCATAATATTAATTTTCTTCTGAAATGTCTCATCCTTAAGTCAGGATATGAATGATACATACATTTTGCCTTACAATTAAAAATTCAACTTCATGCTCATTCAAAACTTCGGAGTCTGTGGACTGTGATGAAGTTGGCTGCACATGAGCTTTTCATTTTAGGTAGTTAATTCAGAAAGACTGACCATCTTTCAAGTACTATCTGGTTCTGTAGACTATAGGATAATTAACCAAAGCAAAAGCACCTCAATTTCTTTTGCTTTTTAACAGATATTTGTTCTGTTTGTTCCCCATAGTTTATCATTTTTAGTCTTTTCATCTCTTAGCTTATATGTACTTCCTCAGAAATGCCTTCTCTGATCAGCGTCCTCACTATTCCTTTAACAGTGTTTTCTCTGAAACATTTTTCTTTTCAGGGATTGTATTAGTCTGCAAGGGTACCAGATTGAGTGGTTTAAATCAGCACTAAG